TTAAGAGACCGGTCGTTGATGTTCTTGTATTCTTACCATACCGGATGTTCATAATTTGCTTTCATTTATTTAGCACCCAACCATTTTGTTTTCAGCCTCTGCTGTTTTTTGAAATCATGTATCAAAATTTATTAGTACAAAGACGAACAAAAAACATCGAGGTTCAGTGAAATAAATTAATGATTCCGCACAGCAGAACCACGAGATATGTTATCAAATCTACTCATTTCGAAACACAATGAACCAGAATAGACCAGATAGTTTACAAAGATATCAATTAGCGATAACATTTGTTTATCCACTAGCGATAGTTTTCTGCAGTTCCGCCTCCTATTCATTCATACTGCTCGGTCTTCAGGGACAAGACGCTCATGAAGTTGATCGCTAAGGCATTATACCTTATACGAATACGTATTTTTAAAGCTTTACATAAAAATAAAGTGTTCCATTGAATATAATTCTGTGAATAATCTATTAGTTTGAAGTATTGGGTATTCTGGGAAATATAAAACGAAGTGATTGTTGCCTATTCAGTTCGAACATCCGATTTCCAATTTTAAGGTAAGTTATAACTTTCAAACGTAAAAAAAAAATTTCATCAATATTTGTTTGTATTAACTTTGCTGGAATGAGGCTTCTGTCTTTCTCCGCAAACGATGAGAGGAATATTAACTCGGCCTCCGAGATGGACGTATATCCCCATGCTGCACTGTAAAACATTTTTTCCTCGAATGCGCATTGTTTCGTTGATGCACGTAACGCATCATGGTTGAACTAGTATAAGGTTGACCCATCAGAAGCCCATTTTTTGCGGATGTAGTTGATTGTATGCCTGTGACGTCACTGATCTCAGTGACGTCACGAGCATTAACCAATCACCGAAATGCGATCAAACCAGTCAACCATATAGTTCAACCATGGTAACGCATAGCTTGATGACAAATATCTCAGGAATATCCGAAATCAGCTATGTACTGAATGAAAAGAAATCATGTTGCCTCTATCTCGTATTATGTTTTCAATTATTATTAACTCGAAAATGTCCAGATCGCACGGAAATCGACCGAATGGACACTTCTCTGGACACTTCGCTCGCCAGCGGACTAAACGCAAAATGAATGTTTTGCGCAACTGTCAACTGAACAGCTCATGAGCCCATCAATTCTGTGTGGTGAGGACCCGATCGACAATTCTACGGACTCGCCAGCGGACTCGCCTGCGGACTCGAGCAACTGGGCCACTCATATTTCCTTAAATACTTAACGGATCTGTATGAATTTTGGAATATGAGTATTAATTATTGATACGCTGCCGCAGGAATTATTACAGATTTTTACATGAATTATTTTTTAATTAAAACCAATAAATGTATTTTTTAAGCAACTGGGCCACTCATAATTCCTTCAATACTAAACGGATCTGTATGAATTTTGGAATATGAGTATTAATTATCGATACGCTGCCGCAGGAATTATTACAGATTTTTACATGAATCATTTTTTAATTAAAACCAATAAACGTATTTTTTAAGCAACTGGGCCACTCATAATTCCTTCAATACTTAACGGATCTGTGTGAATTTTTTGAATTATCTCCTAACCTAACTTAACCTAACCTAACCTAATAATAATAATAAGTCATGTAAAAATCTATAATAATTCCTGCGGCAGCGTATCGATAATTAATACTCACATTCAAAAATTCATACAGATCCGTTGAGTATTTAAGGAATTATGAGTGGCCCAGTTGCGCGCGTCCGTAGGCGAGTCCGCTGGCGGGTCCGTAGAATTGTCGATTGAGTGTGGTGAGTGACTTTGGAGCTGTACAGTTGCGCAAATGTTGCGTACTAACGATTTAGCGAGGAAGTTCGCAGCAGTGTCGGAAAAGTCAGAAATCGTCTTGTGGGTAAATATTTGTCGTTAATCTGATAACAACGTAAGACTCACGATTGAGTCACGAATATCAGATATTTTTTTTTTTCGATTGGACAGCTCCCAAAAATTGATGAGGTTGAACTGCTTCTGGAATAATTCGATAACGAATGTTACATGAACTTATGGATCACAACAAGTCTAACTTCTATTTGAATGAGATACGTTTATGTTGGTGGGATTTTTTAGTTGGCTATGAAATCAATTCAGCCCTTTTTAGCTGTGCCAACTTCAGAGTTAAAAGGCAACACGTCACACGAGTCAGCTGATTATATAGGCCTTTTTATAGGGCATGGGTTGTTCGTTTGTTTTGATTGCGCAGTCATCGCAGTGGCTAGCGAGTGCTAAGAAGTGCGTGCTCTCCGTAGGTGTTTGTAGTGAAAGTGTAAATTATGTACTTTAATATTTACTACAAAATTGGCGAGGAAAAGTTCCTTGGTTAAACTAAATTAACCTAATGCCAATTAAAATATTTAAAGCTCAACCGTCTTCCTTCTTAAGTTCTTTTGTGTCAAATCTATTTTAAATATGTGGGCATTGTGGGGTTGTGGGAAATAGAAGTAGACCCTATTGAGATTAGAGAGCAAATTCTTGTCATACCTAGTTGTCTAACTCATATCAAATATCAAGTCTGTTACTAGGTATTTTTTCCTGATGTTTTTTTTTTTTGCGTTTACATAGGCCTAAGTCATTACTCATTACACATCAGTCAAGAATCAAGAAATCTATCAATAAACTAGATGACACAACTTACAAGTCTTAATTCTTTAGAGTTTAGATTATAACCAACTAAGATCTAGTCCCCATTTCCCAAGTACTATCATTTTCAATAAATTGTATAATGGATTATGGATATATCTACTTTGTTCACCCAATTAGAATTTGATTGGCATCAGCTTTATAGCTAAGTTACATTTTATTAAAAATTACTGCAACCTTTGGTTATTCTTATTTAGAACAAATTCTCTATTATTGTTTTGTTACTTTATAGTATTTTAAAATTTTCTTATAGGTCTTAGGCCACAGCTATTCAGGAAAATCAGGATTGTCTTAAATGCTAATCATCTAATGATGCATGCATCATGCACTAAGCCCTAAGTCTTACTAGACAACAGAAAGAATGAACATTGAACCTAACTTACTTAAGGGGAGCGTCTACCCTGAAAATTATCTCGGCTATTTACAGTCGGATCACTCTGAAACTTGGTACACATATGTAAAATGGAAAAAAACTCGCATTTTGTTCGTGTAAATTTTTAGAAAAAAATGAAAGAAAACGTGAAATTCTTAGAAAACGGCTATAAAAGGGGGTACTGTAGAAATGGATCTAGTCCTGGGATTTCCAAGCTACAACATCGAGACACATATCATTTGATGCATGAGGTCTTCATCTACAAAATGTTCATCTCCTTTTTTTGAAATTCCAATTTTTGTGGAAGTGGGGGGCATTTTTCCAAAATGTTTGGAATTTTGGAAATTTTTCGATTTTCCCCCTGCCACCCCCCTCTTTTTGCCAAATAAAATTCAAACTATAATGAAACTAGAAAAACCGGGATGAACAATTTGTAGATAGTTTATTTGCAAATTGAATGGTATATGTCTCATTGTTGTAGCTTCAAAACTCTAGGAGGACATAGGTTTTCCGTGATAATAAGTGTGAATGTTGAGGAGAGCGCGACAAAGTCCCGCGCGCACCACAATATGCGCTCAATGTAGCATAGATACCAAACTAAACGTTTCTGGAGCTTGATTCCACTCAAGGATGATGGGAGCGACTACATGCACATCTCTCCCTACAAAGCCCGGAGGCACACTGAGTCAGACCTCACAAAAACACTATATTTGTAGTGGTGGACAGCGAATTATCTCGTATCTAATTACTGAAAGAACTCCCCCCCCCGCCCCCCTTTCATGAAGTGTCGTGTACGTGAAAATCGACATACAGAGATAGTAGTGGTACCATTGGATAGGCCAGAATGTCAGCTTTAAGATGAGACTAAACACGTAACTGCAGCACAACTCAAGTAGACACTATATTTAAAGAGCTTAGCAGCTAATTAGTTCCTATCTAATTACTTAAAGAACTCCCCCACCCGCCCCCCTTTCATGAAATGTCATGAAATCATAAATCAACATACAGAGATGGCAGTGGTACCGTTGGATAGGGCAGAATGTCAGCTTTAAAATGAGTATAAAAACCGAAAAAGTAAAAATTTTCAATTTTAGGGTAGACGCTCCCCTTAAGAATGAACCAAAGTCAAAAGTTTTGGAAGCTAACTATGTGTATATTAGCTTCTATTGTTAGCTTTTTTAGCTATTTGTATTGCACTTGCAGGGGCCTTTGAAATACCTAAAATTATAAATAGAAATATTTTGAAAAAATTTAATTGTAGCACATATATATAAAACTTTAATCACATTTTCTGATCATATTGATTTTTTCAAATCTTGTTATATGAAGTAAAATTTAATTAAATTTGAAATCATCCCTCATTTATGATTTCTACAACTTTTGATACCTTCAGTTTCTACTGCCTTGGCCAGCCTCAACTCCTGCTGCACCTTTAATTTTTAAATCTGCACCCCGTAACCTGTCGATAAATTACCTTCTTCTTCCTTCTAGTTCCTTGTGGTCAGGTGATTACCCAATGACTATGAGTATGTCTATAGAAGGAACACCCCTTTCAAAATCATTGAAGATTGTTCACAAAATTAGGATCCAAAGTAGTCAACTAGATAACTTAAATAAATTTGGTTTAATGACATTATCGCCATAGGCAAATTTCTGGCATTTCAAACACCAGTAAAAAAAGAATATTTATACTGTATGCTTCAGATGTTGAGCCACATGCTATGTGAATACAGTGTGAACTGTGTGATTAATGATGAACTTGCAAGTGAGTTGCAGACTTGCAGTCACATAAAGAACCAGCTATGTGGATTTGGTTAAATCAAAAGACCATGAATGTTAAAACTTATAAATGGGGTGATCAATGTGAATCTTGTTGCCAGATTACTAGTAGAAAATATTAGAGAAGACTGCTTTTTAAGTATTATTTTTACTTCACTTTTCCTATTTTATTTATATTTCAGGAATTGATAAGTGAACATTAAAGCTAGCAATATAAATTCTTCTAGCCATGTTATCCTCCTGAAGCTTTGGTTTGTTAGTTTAGTATTCATGGCAACACCATACTTTTATCTGGATGAAGATTCTTCTCAAGATGACAATCAGTCCCCAATACCTCATGCTGATGAAATATTGAACAATGGATGTGGTGAAAATTTGGACACAAAATCTACAAGACTGAGAAAAAAGGTTGCACTAACAGCACCCCAGCTTGATGGCTTGTTCTATTATGATCATCACCTTAGCAAGCAGGATGCATCTCTTGAAGCCAACCGATTTCAACCTGACTCATCTGATATTGTCAACCAATCACAGCATTCTGAATCTTATAATTCTCGATGCAGTTTTTCATTTGCAGGCTCTACTGTGCCACAATCATCTTTGCTTCACCTATCAATGGGGGCTTCATTCTCAAGCCAGTTGAGCAGCACTCATCTCACTCACTCTGTAGTGAGAAATGATGTATCAGGTGATCCTGCCATTCTGGTTTACTGGGACCTCATCAATGAGTTGCTAGATGAACAAAATTGGAAGCGACTGGAGCAGCTTGCAGCAAGTCTTCGTGATATTACTGATCTTCTGCTCTCTGACACCACTTGGCTCTCTTTAGGTAACTGAGCATTTTCAAAATTTTCCTGTGTCAATTTTTTTCTAATTTATCAATTTTCTTCAGAAATCAAAGTGACATTTAAGAAGCATAACTGTAGACTCAACAAGTTATTGCCCTAGAAAAATTGTGTTGATGGCTCTTTAAGTACCATCAGATACGGTATTCTTCAAATACAATAAAGAGACATATTTTATATAGGTATTTACTATGTGACTATTTGTATCACAACAATTTAATCACTAAAAATGGTCCAAGTTACCCCATTTTACAGTACTAATGCATGTATTAGTTTTTATTGATAAAAATTGAAGTTGCAATGGTATTTGACCATTAATTTTACTCTGATATTTATTTTCAGATTTCCAGTCATTATCAGAACTCATCAGTGTTTTTGCACTTCTTGTCTTGGATGAGAAGCTAACTAACTTCAATGTTGTCTCAGAACCTCAATCTCCATCCAAATCAAAAAAATCTACTGGTAGTAGGAAACTGGCACACATTCCAGATGAATTCAAAGGTTCATTACCATCTGGGGGAGCTTCTCATGCTACCCCATCAGAAATGGGCAACATACCAGTTACGGATAGCATGGAAATTGCTAATAATCTTGAAGATGCTGGCACATCTACTGGGATATTTCCCATCTCTGTCAACTCTGAAAATATGACTGGTGGATCTACTGCTGCACACAATAATGTTGCCACCAGCAGTGTGAAGTCTGACATGCTTGCCACATGCTCTACCAAGTCAACTTGCCCAGCCAGAATGATTACAGCAAATCCAGCTGATGCACTTGCTGCTGCTGCAACAGAGGCATCAGATAACATTGGCCTCAGCACCGATAATACATCAGGACTTGCTGTTACACCTACAATGATCAAGGCTCTTCCAAAGAATGACCAGCCCATATCTGAATCAGCCAAGAAAGAAGTCAGTTTTGCTGAGCCTCGTTGTGTTGTTTTGGACGAGCCAGTCCAAAGACCAGTATCACCAACAGGAAGTGGAGGTTCTAATGCTGTGTTGGAAACCAATCATGAAGATGAGTGGAAGAATCATGTCATCTCTCAACTGTTGATTGTATATGATTTGTTGCAGAAAGTCCATCATGTGAGAATTTTTGAGAGACACGGTGAGTCAAACTTGAGTTTTTCACTCCTGCATAGAAAGCTTGTAAAACTCAAAATCTCTATTTACCATATTGTTAGTTGTTACTTCATCTTGTAATTTTTTATTTTTTAGTAGCAATTGCAATTGAATTTAGCACTGATGCCATATGATGCAAGATAAATATTTTTCATTAAACTTATTCTGCAACATTGGTTTGTAGATGATGCTTTCTGATGCATTTTTGTGAATTATAAATTCTATTATATGCATTGCAGTTCCTATATCACTGGCTGCCTGTTTTGGATATGCCAAACACTACGGCCCCTCTGCCCCAGCTGCCAGTAATACATGTAGTAACTGCAAGACTTCATTAAGCAGTGGCCCATCTACAGTATCAACAAGCCTCTTGCCTTATCATTTGTCTCCTAATCTGTGCCAAGCTTGTCAAACTCGTGACACACCTGGAAGCCTCCCTACATGTTTTCCCTTCCCCTACATCAACTTGCAATGCATGCGGAGTCTCCAGTCTCTCAACATCAACAGGGTCAGATATTTTAATCAAATTACATGTCTACATGGAATTTGGTGACGGGAGAAGTTTAGTTATGCAAACTCCTGTCCCATTAAGGTTTGCCATGTGTTAATATACCTTTGATGACATGAATTGCTTATGTTAAATAAATGAATTATTCTAGGAAGAGAGCTTCACGTTTCTTGCTATCATAAGTCTAAAGTATGATTTCAAACTGGAATCAGCTGGAATCTCAAAACTACAAAATTGGCTTTTTTTTGCAGTGCTGTAGGTCGTCATTGTCAAAACGACCTCAACTAAAAATGCATCATGTATATGATAATAATTTTGCAGTAGAATTTATTGAAATTTTCAAAGCAGTTATCAATATGCAAATCAGATGTTTTATAAAATATCATTGTATCTTGTTCAAATTTAAATGCTAACTCTAACTTTTTTGGATATACGGTAGGTGCCTGATTAATTTGACCCATAACTTGTTTCAAGACTTTTTGCTGAGCTAATTAGAAGGTAACAGATGACATGAATATTTTGTGTTTTTGCAGGTGCCATGGCATAAAATTCATGGGTTGAGCTGCCACCGATCGAGGCGGCTGCGCTACATCATGATGAGAAGGGCAGGAATGACTTCACTTGAGCAGCTTGCAGCTCACTGCTGTGCTGATCAGGTTTGATTGGTGACTAATTCTGCATAATGTATACTGTCAAATAATTCCTCAAGGTTAACAATATGACGTTAATACAAATTTTATTGATTGTCTTGTAAGATGGAAAACTGTTTGGTACAAATAAGGAAGTGGAAGAACTTTACATGCAATCAGAGAGGCTATCATTGGAGATCTCATTGAATCTTTCTCACAGTGCATAACTAAATCAACATGATTCAAATCAGGGTTAAATTCGTGTTCTGTATAATTGTGATTTCTTTGTTGTATTACACCCTTATTTCTTTCTTATCCACTAGTAAGCATCAGTCTATCATTAAAATTTTTTTCGAATTTACGTTAGTACTTATTTTTTCAGTGTCGGAGAAAAAATACTTTACTATCATTCCCACTTGGAACTCTGCACGTGCAATAAAAACTTATCTTAAAGTTTTTTTCAATCGTGCAATAATTTTTCAGGCTCAGAAGCAAGCATGGCATCACCTGCTGGAGTTGGATGTCTCGTACAACCCTTTACGCACGCTGGACTCATCTGTGTGCCTCTTCCCTAACATCACAGTGTGTAAAAATAGTCCATATTTATTTATTAATATTAATAACTAGTGAATATTGCATATTGATTAAAATTTCAATTTGGTTAATCATCAAGGAGAGAAAAGGTAGAGCTTTTTTGAGACTCGTGTAATATTTAATGTTTATAAATCATGAAACTGAGTTTACTTAAATGGGAGATGCAAAGTACAATATAATTGATTGACCTGCTAACTTCTTTGTTGTATGATAGTATCTATGGCTCAATTTAAATAAGAAACTGTTTTAGTCGGCTATTCATTGATCAATTATATACGTATGACTGATATATGATCCTTGTTAAAAACTTTTGTTGGAAATTAAATATAAATATATATATATTTTTTTTGTTGGAGCAGTTAGCTACAAATGTAACATTTTATAAACAATTTGATGGAATTTTTGTTGTTACTTGTTCCCTGCAGCTTGTACTAGTATTTTTTCTTGTGAATGCAAATTTTTGATCCATGTGATTAATTTTGATATGCTTCATTTTTGTACAGGCCCTTCATCTAACGCACTGCGACCTAACTACAGCCGAGGGCTTGCAGCAGATGACGGCTCGCCTGACGTTCCTCGACCTCAGCTACAATAAACTCTCCACAGTGCCTGGACTGTCAGCCTCCTGCTGCCAGTCACTCCTTACGCTCAGAATTGTTGCCAACTTCATCGTCTCCCTCAGAGGTGAGAAGATATTGCATGTGGAGTTTTTCAATACTGTTATTAGCGCATTTTCTCATTTATGGAAAAAATGCCCTATTGTGCTCGTCATGTCCGTACGTGACTTCACGTTTTTGTCGACGAGAAAATGCGCTCTCTGTCGCTCACTGCAGTGAGTACCGAGCTATATTTTTTTTTGTTGCTTGAGCTGCACTTTTCAGTGGTGCGTTTATATATTTTTGTTTTGAGGAGCTTTCCCTTTCATTTCCTTCTGTGAATGTTGTGTGGACCCAAATTTTCTTAAAGCTACCAGCATTTTTTTCAATTTTTTTCGCCCAGCTATTTTTGATACATTTTTTGCCTTATTTGATGGCTATTTTTTACATAATTTTTTTACTGTATTCTTCCATCAATCAAGGTCTGGCGCGCCTGGAAAGCCTGGAACATTTGGAGCTGCAGGACAACTTGATCCTCATGTCTGGGTCGCTGGCACCTCTAGGCTGCTTATCTGAACTGCGCTCTCTGAGGCTTGCAGGTCAGTTTGAAATGGTCATCAACTTTTCTTGATCATAAATAGAGTATGAACCAAAACTATTCATACGGTGTATGCATGAGAAACAATTTCATTACAAAATAGGTAGAGATATTCTCCTGTTCATGTCCCCAATACCGTATGCTGATGAAATTTGTAAGTTTTACTATAGCTTCAGATCAAAGTTTAGTTAGTTCCTTTTTATTTAATATCATTCGTTAGTACCGTACCTTTGGCGCGAAATTTGTTTTTCTGAAGCACCAGAAAACCTTTTCCTACAACTATTACGTTTCAATTTTCTTTCTCCATCATGCGTGTCACCACTCAACAGGGAACCCTGTATGCTACGTACGAGACTCACGCTACGCAATTGTTAGTCGTCTGCATCCGAAGGTCAATGACCTTAAAGTAAGTAATGGGTAAATTTTGTATTGAAGTTTAAATAGTGTAGGTAATTAGTTTAATTCAATTGCTGCCATATTAGAGAAACGAGATGGCTAATATTTTCTTGTTATTTGTACTCGTGGAATTTTTTTCAATGCCAATCTGTGTATTGTGTTATAGCAACAAGATAAGTTTAGTAGTAAGAGGTTTACCGTTATACAGGGTCATCAATATTTACTGTTACATTGTTTTTTCAAAATCAATGCACTCGCAAAACAGTCAAATGTGTCGTATAGGAACCATGTCGACTGTTCTCCGGAAGGACCTAAAGTTGTCCCCATTCAAGCATGTCAAAAAACACCAACTGTCCGCTGAAGTTGTTGACAAACGCCTCCAAAGATCCAAGATTCTTCTTTCCCGCATTCATGATGGCATGCTGCCGAACCTCGTTTTCAGTGATGAGAAGATATTCAATGTTGAACACCACTTCAACTCCCAAAATGATCGAATTTGGTCGAAGAATGGGACGAAGGATCCCGTGTGGTGACTAGGAAGCAATGCCCGTCCTCAGTGATGGTCTGGGCAGCCGTAACGGAGAGTCCTCAAGGAGTCCCCTCTTTTTTGTTGACAGAGGGGTGAAATTGAATCAGAAGAACTATCGAGATGCCATCCTTGTTGGTGCATTGTTGCCCTGGGCACGAAAGCACTTCAAAAAACGTCCCTGGTCGTTCCAGCAGGACTCTGCACCATCCCATGGGGTCAAATCGACTCAGGAGTGGCTGTCCGAGAATGTTCCCCACTTCATTACCAAAGATGAATGGCCCCCATCGTCACCCGATCTGAATCCTCTGGATTTCGGGATCTGGTCATACCTTGAGAGCAAGGTCTCGACCGTTCACCATAACAGTTTGGACGCCCTAAAGGTCGAACTGCTGAAGGAGTGGGCCAAAATCCCGCAGATTGTCATTCATGACTCGTGTAAGGCTTTCTCTAAGCGTCTACAACTCGTTATTGATGCAGATGGTGGACATATTGAATGAAATTGTGGGAATTGTATCTCTGAACCTCTGCCTACATAAATACATTTTTAAACGTTCACAATTGTGTTTCATTTCATAGTTCTAACCACTCAAAGTTGTAACGCTAAATATTGATAACCCTGTGTGTCTGTGAATTTAGACCTTGGAAATTACCATTGACGGGTATACCTATATTATCTCGCTGCGTTTATTTACCGCGTCCAATTGATATAAAATTTTATTATATAGTAACAATTCTCCACTGTACAGATAATATTGGATGAACGACGTCTGACCAACGACGAGGCGGCTCTAGTGGCCTCGAAAAATTGGATCTTCGTGCGTCAGGAGGCTTGTGTCACGGGTGAGTGTGCGTCTTAACCCTGTGTCTATGGATACATTAACCATCAATGCTATTCGTACCTATCAGCCAGGCCGCGAGAGTTCCGTTATTACACAGAAGGTTAATCAGAGCAATGATGACACTTCGTCCAAATATGCGATGCCCTCTTTGTTCTTGTACGGGTAATACTCGTGTATTTTGGCCCGGCAAATATCAATGCTACCGTCGACATGTGCTTGTGTTGTGGGTGTGCAAGTGTTACTATGTGAGTGTGTTTTCTAATCAGTCACTGACTTGATTGGTTTCTCTATTATCTTCACCACTAAATCTATAAAATTATATCAGGTGTTACAGGTTCATTGCTTTAGCAGGGACAGACCCGGTGATGTCTCCCGAGGTTGTGCTGCGGGCCCAGCAAGCTGCGCTGCCCCCAAGCGATTCTCGCCTGCTGCCAGTCTTGCGACCCATTGACGGCCCCGTCAGGCCCAAGAGAAAACGTACGTCCCTTGGACTGATTTTTTCAGGTCTTAGTAGCATTTTAGCTTTACATCTCCAGTTATTGTTTGGTAAAATTTATTGATCAAGACGTACGTCTCTTGGACCGATTTTTTTCAGGTCTTAGTAGCAGTTAAGGTATACATCTCCAGTTATTGTTTGGTAAAGTTTGTTGATCAAGACGTAAGTCTCTTGGACAGATTTTTTCAGGTCTTAGTAGCAGTTTAGGTTTACATCTCAAGTTATTGTTTGGTAAAGTTTGTTGATCAAGAGGTACGTCTCTTGGACAGATTTTTTCAGGTCTTAGTAGCAGTTTAGTTTGGTAAAATTCAGTTATTGTTTGGTAAAATTTGTTGATCAAGACGTACGTCCCTTGGACCGATTTTTTCAGGTCTTAGTAGCAGTTTAGGTATACATCTCCGGTTATTGTTTGTTAAAGGATGACAGAATTTGTTATTTTATTTATACAAGTTTGATTAAATACTAGAGAATGCATTATGTCAATGAATCGTCGAAAAACTAACGCAAAAATTGTTAACAAAATATATTCTTTGGTCTTCATTAGATATGGTTTGATATAAAATCTCCACATCTCAGTATGCATTTCTAAATAATTTTTATTTTTGTAGGTTCTACCAAGAGAACACGGCTGGTGGAGATCGCTGAGCCAATGGGAGACGAGCCTCAGGGTGATAGCACAGGAGTATCTTATTCATCTGGTGGGTGTCAGCTTTGATATTCTTGGGCATCTCAGCCGTTTAAATAAATTATCGCTGCTACCATTATTATATATATTATCTCGAATGTTATTATATATCATCTCAACCATTATTATATATCATCTCAACCATTATTAAATATCATCTCAATCGTTATTATGTATTATCTCTTTTTAACATACGAAAAGTTAATCAATGAATTAGTTTTATAATGTTTATATAAAATATCAGCTAGAATATCGGTCGATTTTACGGCATATTCAATGTACTCTCTTTTAATTAATCTATTTTAAATGTGAACAAGGTTAGAGTTTGCTTCTAATACGACTCGGTGCAATGCAGCTGTAATAATTAGTGTTGCATTGTATATTTAATGTATCGAGTGGATATAGGGATCATTCGCTGTAAGGTGCTTGGTTATAATTTACGAATGTGAAGTTATAGAAAACGTACGCCTTATGTTGTTATGACCGCATTTGGTACTGGTGACAAGAAGGGTGCGTTGTATGACAATTTCTTACCAGTGGCAAGAAGAGTGCGTTGTATGACAATTTCTTACCAGTGGCAAGAAGGTTGCGTTGCATGACCATTTCTTACCAGTGGCAAGAAGAGTGCGTTGTATGACAATTTCTTACCAGTGGCAAGAAGGTTGCGTTGCATGACAATTTCTTACCAGTGGTAAGAAGAGTGCGTTGTATGACAATTTCTTACCAGTGGCAAGAAGGTTGCGTTGTATAACAGTATTTGTACGTGCAGGGACCTCACCATCTGAAACAGGGATCGCCTCCTGTTCATCACATCCGCCTTCGAGTAACTCCGCTAGCGCTGGGTCTCCTCGCGATCTCAGGTACACGCGTGATTATTACCCTTCGATCTCCTCATGTATATGCCTCCTCCCACCTCCCCCCCCCGGCTAGTTTTATTTTACTACCTCTTTCCTATCAGCTATACTCCTTTCCCCACCAGCTAATTTGGTTTTACCTCTAGCATGGACATGCAGCACATTGGCATATGCGTCCTCCCGACGTTCAACAATTTTGTTTCGTCCCGACCATCCACTGATTAATTATTCTCCGCCTAGGATGCTTTGACATGTTTTTTCATCAGCCCTGGAGTTTTTCTGCTGTTTTACCGCTATAAAATATAAATGTTTGAGACAAATCCAACTACTTCCGATCCATACTCCAATTAGAGTTCCCGGATGACGTTAACGCAAAATCGCCTCTTATCATCTGGATGGTTGATTCAATTAGAATTCTTCATTTATCATGATTGTCTCTTTGGGGGATACGTATTCATGTCTTTTCACCACGTTCTTAAAAAACGTTTTCGTCAATATCATTCATGTTAGTTAAAAACTTTCTAACTTGTATCACTGGGGATTTTTTCTTCGTGCGTTCTTCTTAGATCTCTTCTTACTTCAATCGAATCCAAATGATTTTGGTTTTATATGTGGATAATAATTGTTCTAATTCGAAAGACAGATAGTTTAGCATGATGAATATATCTATCGGACAAGCATGCATTATACGATCAATATATATCCCATTTACCATCGAGACCAATCGTTTTGAACATACATGCGGGGTTGTCTAAAATCAATGTTGCATGGTGCATCTTCTAAACTTGTTGTGTCTCGGAATCTATGGTACCGTCTAATGAGGTTCGAAACTACTACGTATTGCCTTCCGTGGCAGTTCTTCGTATTTCTAATTTGTCCTGATTTACAGCGAAGTTTATTTCTCTGTGTCCGTGACTCGGGTCACAGCAACTGTCCCTTCCAACAGGGAGACAGAAGGCGTGCTGCCTCACCAAGTGGTAGTGGAGGACCTGCTGCTCAATGCTGCGCCGCGCAGCACTACGATAATCCAGTCATCGAAAGTGCCGAGTTGTAGTCGGACCAATAAACCTGTGCTAGACAAGGTTGTTGAACGTACATGTTCAAGAAAAAAGGTTGAAGAAAAAGACTTGAGGTTGAATCGAAATGCTGTAGGTACCGTAGTTAGGAGTCCTAGCAACTGTCCCGTAAATCCGAAGGATAGAATTGTCGAAAAAAATGACGAGTCTCACGGGAAAATTGGAATCTCAGATGTTAATGGAATTAATAAAGTGAGTGATGATAAACGCCTGAATAAGATTAACGAAAGTAAAGAAGATCTAGAGGAAGATGAGAATATTGATAAGCCCTCAACTGCTGGATGTGATGAGAAATACAGTAACGGCAAAGATCCCGACAAAGATGGCGGAGGAGCAGCTGGCGGCGGAAGTGCGTCTGGAAATTCCACATTGCAGTCCAACGGCGGTCACAACGGCAGCTGCGACGGCGGCAATAGTGGCTCGGAAAGGGATAACAGTGAAGGTCAATACCAAGGTCGGGCTGGCAGTGACAGCTACCGACAATGCACCAACAATTCAGTAAATTCTGGGCTAAGTATATCTTTGGCAAGTGTTGTTGTCAAAGACGAACCGGGAGTACCGGATGACGAAACTGTAGGACCACAGGCGCTTCTTCTGTGTGATGATCAGGCTGGAGTGAATAATGCGTGGGTTGAGGCGGTGGTACATCCTTCGCAAGCTCATGTATCTGCTGGTGATGGGGAATCCTTTTTCCGTCCTCTCAATAGTGGGTTGCATGACTCTCGGGGAAATTGTTTAGGCATTGATACGCATGCTGAAAGGACGGATGAATGTAACGTCGATAAATGTGGAGAAGTAAAGTCGCATGTCTTTGGGCAATACATAGGTGAGCAAGAATCATTGATGGCTGAGGCAAAAGGTGTGTTGAATTGGGATGAAGAGCAGCGAGCTATTCTGTCTGCATCACTTACTAAAAGGGCTTCTGCATGTGAACGTAACTTCGAGAGTCCTCCAGGTGAGATTACCTCACCAAAAAATTCACCCCAAAACATCGTCACAGATGTCCAGGCGTTTAAGAAGGCAACTCAATGCAAATGTTTAACTTGTGTTATGAATAATAAAACATTTATTGTAGGCGCGTATGCTACCGAAGCAACGCTCACTGATCGAGATCTTCATAAACTCAGTTCACTTAAAAGAAGTAGATCAGTTTTGACTTTATACCCTGACGACATGACAAAAGACCTTCAAATTGATAGTGAAGATAATATCTGGTGTGCCATACTAAACAGATGTGATAATTTCGATGTTGCCAGTTTTACGAGTAACCGCGGTTCGTCGGGCAACAGTCGCGGGTTGAAGGCAAGGAACGCACCGCCAGCGTCGTACGAATGTCGCGTTATTGAGTACTGCCCGCCGTTCTTTTACGAACGCCGGCCTCTGAACGCCGCGTGTCACAATAGTGGCCGTTACTACGGTGCCTCGAGTCCTCCGAGAGAAGAGGACGACGCCATGGACCAGACGCTTCATTGTGACTCGAGATGGAGTCTGCGGAGGATGGAGTGCGTTATTAGCATCAGTGGGCGCGTTATGGTTGAAACCAGCGATGACTGCAAGCAAGGCTTTAAGGTACAAACTCACATCAAAATTATGCACGAACGATTTACAAACTATATATTTAAAACGACGTATGTTAAGGATATTGAACTTGCCTGTCATTTGTGCTCAAAAAAGAACTCTAAAATCCTATTAATAAATTCTCACTAATTTAAATGCAAAAAGCTACTAGTAAATTCACCATTTCTTGGTATTCACTTGTAGTTTTCTTCGATTTAAAAATCATGATTAACTCGTTATTTAAACAAACTGCTGATCTGAGCGAGTTGCATTACCACCAACGGCTGTTATTTTGTGTGTAGGTGGTATTCACGCAGCTACGCAGCGTTGCTGTCATGGCTGACACTAGACTGCGTGTCACGTTCTGTGATCCTCACCACAACGTACTGCACCGCACCTACGAGCTCCTCCCTCATGTCTTGCAAGTAAGTGTGTCATCACTACAGCGTCATGGTCGGAAATGTCGTTCTAATAATGATGCAAATTTTCGAATAGCCGCTTACGCATTGAAAACTACAGGTCTTCACAAGTGGTTGAATTGCTAGTCGTTTTTACTTAGACAAGCAGCGCGTGGATCTTGATCAGTTTCCTGCGTTTGTTTAAATTCGTCGAAGTGCAAATTTGAAAGTTTTGAAGGAGTATTAGTTTCTGGAGTAATGAATGTTCCTGACGGTAAAGGTTGATAGTTTCCGCGCACTGTCCCACGGAAACTATCAACATGTAATATGCATTTCTGATATTAGTTTTACTAGCTCACAAACATCTCTGTTAAATATATTTGTTGTATAACATTAACCGCGCATCTGCTCTATTAGCATCATAGCATGTGTTGATATTTTCGGTCTAACGTCCCGACTTGACATTTTTTAGTTCTATTGAGATTTCCTCCAGTTCATCCATGGCCGATATTATTTATTCAGATAATTTCAAACCTTCTCTGCATCTATATTGTGTCCATATTAATGATAATATTAATATTAGATAATGAAAGTCGAAAACTTCAGGACTAATGATTTGATAATTGTGCATAAGAATTTATCACTCGACAATTTCCTTTGTAGATATGGAAGAGTTTGAAACATATTTTCTTTTGCTTGCTTTGTGCAGTCATTAATGAAGCACTTCAGGCTGCTGCTGGCAGACAGTAAACTGCAGTTCAAAGTCAATGATGCGCTAACTTGTCAGCACTGTCAACATGTTTTCAGCTCTAGTCTCACCGTCAGCGTTGAAGGTCTGTATAACATTCATTAAACCACAACGCTCAATAGGCTGTATTCTTTTATTAAACCTTTCCTGGTCTAACAGTAACGGGCATAAATTCCAGAGCATACTTCATGAATTTCGAGTAGAAAACGATCATTATTCTTGAAAGATCTTGTGTTAGCGTGATGAAGTAACCTGATTTTCATTGAAGAGGATTACGTTGGCATATTGTCATATTGATTTTTTTTGTAATGTTTTGGTCTCATCTTCCCTCAGGTTTCCCTCATGCACTGTGCCCAGATTGTGGGTGGACGACGGACGGCCAGCAAGTTGACCTTCACCTCGTAAACGCGACGCTGAGAGAGCAGCAGCGCGTCGTCTGCAGCATATTTCCTGGTGTCGGGCCCCTGCTGCCTATCTGCTCCCAGCCATGCAGTCATTCCCTGTGCAGTGTAGCTGCTGCTCGTCGCAGTGCGCGTTGCAATTCTGCGATAAATTTGCAGAATTTCAGAGACCCTCTTATGCGTTCTTTGTCTGTTAACAGCCTCACCTCGTCGTCTTTCTCAATCGATCAATCTGCTGCTACATTGGGCTACCCCAGTTACTACAATCGCCAGAATAAGAAGAGTTCCAATGGAAATATTTCGACTGGTTTTGAGACCAACTTGTCGTCATATCCTTACGATGGTCTGTTTGATGATCCCAACCTCACTTGTGCTCCTGCGCACGTCATCTCTGCGTCATTGGATGCCATCGCCAAAAAAGCATCTTGTCCTGTCACGGCTGGAGGCTTGAGCGCAATCGCTCATAGCCAAAACCGAGTTGTGCACCGCTCTCAAAAGTTGAACGAGGTCAACTCATCCGAATCTTTTCCTACCGACCGTGTTCTTTCCAAATCTGCTGATGAGCAAATTGCCGACTTTATTAAACAGAAGCTAGCCAGCACCTCGCCGCCCAATAGCTTATGCCGCAGGAACAACTCAACGCATAGACAAAATCATTTGCGGCTCTCGGGAACTTTGGGTATGTCGCAACAATCATTGCAAAACCGGACTATTCTGATGGACACTTCCATGACCACCGAACCAATTGATTTCGGTAAGCCCGTTTCTGGTATACGAGCTTCTACGCAGAGTCTTACACCATCTCCTGTAGTGGCTCCCAGACACGAACGTGTTGGACTGGCTCGCGCAGAGTTAGCTGAATGTCAGCCTCTTTTTCAAAATCTAACCGATTCCGTGCAGGTTCAAAAACTAAGCGGATCTTGTACTCCAGGAGGAAGAAATGCCCAGCAAGAAGCCAAGGTTTTTCTTTCCAAGCGCGAGATGGACAAGTCAAAATGGAATAAGGAAAACATGCGCCCTATGTTAGGATGGATGCCTAATACTGTTGCCACTATAGCTGAACCTAATTGTTACTCAGAACAACTACATGCTTCTATTTCCCGAGGCGGTCATGATTATGAATTGAGGAAGCACTCCGTGAGCTTACTCTACTCTGATGATCATTCTTCCGTTGCTGCTCGTGATGTACTAAGACAAAGGTTAGTTACATGACTTTTGTTATGAATCTAACCCAGGCAAATTTGGTTGAACATCGGATTCTGAGCTAATATCAATCACTGCATTTGGGACAGGGGATGTGCATCGTTGTTGCTATGTTCTTCCAGTGTTTAACAACTGTGTGTTTTTCTCGATTACCTTTTCCTCTCAATGTCTATCTTTTATAACAAAATAAACTAAGCAGCAACCTTCGACTACCCTGCATGTGGTGAGGAGCCTATGTGAAATAGAAAAATAAATTCATGGACCTTGAACTGATCTTTGCGTTATATGGTGAATGTTTCTTAAAAAATCTCATTGTTTAAATTCAGGTTAATTCCTCTTGAATGATTTTGTCGGTAGTTCATAAGTCAATATACACCATAGATGATGATACTTAGGTGGTACTCGTACGAGGTCATTAATTCTTGAGCAATGCCAAAACTAGTAAATAAGTTCAATATGTTTAACAGTTTTTCTAGATAGTGCGCGTCGTATAAGTATTTACGTTGATATTTAATGTATAGCGAAGTATAAAATCTACATTACCTTGATCTATCACATGGCTGCAGAGATAGAAGATCTTTTCAGCTTTCGATCTTTCACTTCTCATAGACTGAAATTAACCTTTCTGTCCTGTGTTGCTCGTCGTAATTTGTTCCATAGTGAGCAATGTAGCTTTAATTTAGAGGAAATTAATATATTATCTAGAGCCACTGAAGTTTCTGACTAGTTTGAGAATTACGAGTTTGAGTTATGTATTGAAATTATGTCTATATGTTCTTGAACCTGATTAAAAATTAAACGTTTGTTCCCATTACCTTACTAACCTCTTGGTCTTGTTATAATTTTGCGTGGTTGATTGGAATACTTTGTTTGTCTTGAACGCTTGCCGGTAAGTTTTATATACGTTTGCCCACGTTTTTTTTCAGTAACAACAAACTCCATAGAGTTAATGAGCTGAAGTTGGTGGAGTTTAATCTCAAATTAGATTCATAAAATCGTTCTAACGCCAAAAATTTGTGCCGCTAACACTGTCCAGTTATGCACTTTCTATAACACCTAATCTAGTTGCGCCCACGTAAAATTGCTCCAAGGAAATTTTTTGTTTGAGGGAAAGAGTGATAATTATTTCAACGAATAAGAAAATGATGCTGATGATGGTGACATCTAAAGAATATATTCGATGAATAAAATTTGCATGTGGTGAAAGAATCAAACGGACATCGGCTTATAAAAAAATGAAACTAGACTATAAAACCATCTCGTATCTCTCTTCGCTACTGGCTTAAACTCTCTGTTTGCTACTGGCTTAAACTGCGTTCCCATCAATTGTCAATTAATTGTGGTTTGTACTGGCATATTTGTCAAGATAAGAAACCGTTAACTTTTGCCATGACGACAAATCGTAAACTTGTGCAGAGGCAAGAAATAGATATAGCGGCATGACAAGGTTTCGCAAACTTATGCCATGACAAGAAATCTTGAACTGTTGCTGCAATAAGAAGAAATCGCTAATTTTTACCATGACGATAAATCGAAACTTCAGCCACGACAATAAATCACTTCTGCCATGAGAAGACTCGACAGCCGCATAATTTTGTGCGTAAAGTTAAATTTTCGTTGAAGGTTATAAAATAGAGATGATAAAATTCCGGGTTTGATTTGGAAATAAGTTCAAATCGGTTTACACTTAATTTCATCCTACACTAAAGTTTTCCTGCAGTTGCATGTTGAATTTAAATTTCTGCATTCAAATCAATGGCACTGCCACAAAGTTAATGTACAATATTTATTCGTGTCATTTATGATTCTAGATTAGAACGCAGCAGCTTTTCAGAAAGTAATCGTAAGTTGTAGCAAACAAATCAATTTTTTTTACTGGGAACATTTAGAATCCAGCAATCAACAGTTTAATAATTAAATATTATTTCAAGAAAGCTAATATTTACAAAATGTTTAGTCCTTCCTTAATGGAGAATCTACGCGAAGCCATTATGTATATTATGCAACCAACGATTTTAATTATTATTATTGGAAAATATTGATTCAATAAAGTGATTAAAATGCATAAATGATGAAGTCGAGTACCAGTCATGCATAAGAACTTCACAAAAGGTATCAGCAATTACGATTCAACATTTACCGTGTATGGTTTATCAGCTGGAGCGAGCCCTCCTTGCAGTGCAGAGGCGAGCATAAGCAGAATTTAGTGGGAACATCTGCTCTTCGTTTCACCGAGAGAAGCATCAGCTTGGGTACTGGCGAGGATTTACCAAAATATAGCGAGCGTTTGGTGTCATCATGTGCGCGCGCACGACTAACGCTGTATGAGGGCTCAGGAAGCAGTGGTATGCAGCGGCGAGGAGTGTTGCTACGTCGACACACAAGCGCTCACGTAACTCATCATTTTGCCCACTGCAAGAACACGGACAAAGAACCTCAGTCAGAGGTGAGGCAAGACTAACTATTAATTAATTACATTTGAGAAAAATTCTTAGATTATGCTGATGATTCGTTGCTGACTTCGGGGCCTGTTGAAAAAAATAGTGTGTAATTTTTGTGTTTCTAATTTTCGAAATTGATGGCGGTCATATATTTTAAAATTTTACTAGTACTATTCATGTTTTAAATATAGAAGGTGACAACCAGTTTGACTTGAAACGAGATAAAGATCAACATTTTTGGAAGAGTTAACAATTAGAATATCTAATTGTTAACTCTTCCAAAAATGGTTAAAAGCTTCCCATTTCCCAAATCTATTATACTAATTTCACTTTCTGCCAGGCTCGGGTATGTCTCAATAGGCTTAAAACATTAAACTGAGATCACAGAACAAATTGTCATTTTTCTCCAGGAGGTTATTGACGGGGACGAAAACGAGATATTTGGTGACGAGAAGACAGAAGAAAGTTTCTCCAGCTGTTCTGACAGCGAAGATTCCAAGAACGAACGTGAAAAGCCAGAGGCTTTGGGTATGATGTATGAATTCGAATGTGGACACGTGACACCTTGCAGTCTTGCGCACAAACACCACGCCCAGCCAAACATAGGCTATTCATATGTGTTACAGGTCACTAATGAATTAAGTGATAATGATGATGAGAATAATAAAACTAAGTATGATCGAGAGAAAAGTAAAAATAATGAGGAGCCTGGGACGAGTGAAGGAGATGAAGACAGTTGTGGATCGCCATCGAATCCTTCTGTGTCAAGCATTGAGATTATTAAGGATGATTTTGTTGAGGATAGCTAATATGATGGACTCAGAAATAATTGTTAAAACTGTAAACGTCGAAGTAATTATTAGTCACACTTTTATTTTATATATGCGCCCGAATCTAGAGTTTGGAAACGTTGTGTGGTCACCGCGATTTGAAAAAGACCAAAATTTAATAGAGAATGTTCAAAGACGTGCAACAAGGATAATTCCAGGCTTGAAGGGCAAGTCCTATATGAAGAAAGATTAAAGATTATGAAGTTTCCCGGCCTCAGTTATCGACGTCTGCGTGTGGACCTCATTGAAGTAAACAAGTATACTCATGGTTTATACCAAGGTCCCCCAAGGATTACTAGAATTTGAAACAAGAACCAACACCAGGGGCCACGGCTATAAACTAAAAAACTGCACTGAAACTTATCCACACGACAACATTTCTTCTCGCTTAGAATCACCGACATGTGGAACAGCTTCCCCGATTACATCGTTGGCGCTCCGAGTATGAACGCGTTCAAGAACAGACTAGATAACGCTATGGAAAAATATATGTTAAGACTTGAAATGCCTAGCACAATATCGAACCCGGTGGAAGTCGAGTAGCTATTTCAAACTATCGTCAGTCGTGAAATGATCCGGTTAAATGACACGATTTTCGATCTTCTGTGAACAAGGCCCGAGAATTAAAAGAATCGGCGACAGGCCACATCAGGCCTACTCTTCAGCGCCGACACCGCTATGTTATGTTATATACCTCGTGTAAGGCACGAAAAAAAAATACTGAGAACAATGCAATGACTGAATGAGGAAAAATTATGTGGACGTGAAAATTATTTCTAACTGGCATACATGATAGATAATGTTAAATCAAATGCCTAATACTACGTGTAAATACAAAGAAAAATTACAAAGAAAGAAACACACATAGAAATATATGTAAGCTTGTCAAGGTTGCATAAAATTCCAATAGATGAATTGTGGCTATTTGAATTATGGAGAAACATAATAATGTTAAGGATTGTATTTATTATGTCATGCGCTTATTGATTCTACAAATGACAAAAATGGGTCAGATGTATCAACTTTTTGCATTATTTAAATTTTGAACAAGCAAATTCCAAATATTTAAACTTTGAAATTAAGCTGAGTTATTTATTTTTCAACGTTCAACTTTGTACAAAGTTTGAGATAATACATTATTGTTCTGGCATATTTCTTTCTCTTTTTTTTGCTTATGTTAGATGAATTGTAAAGAATGTTTCCTAACTTTGGAGAAAACGTACTTGGTCAACATTTCTCCGAACTCACTTGAAGACTCACACACGCAAAACCTGCCTTAAGTGCTAGCATGGGACGTTGAATCAACTTCAACGCCCAGCTCACAAATTCGTAAATGACGTTTTAAGTTAGGAGTGTGCTTCTTGAATTGTTTTCTCCGAGAAGAGTTCGGCGTTGAACATTGATTAAAAGGTCATCGACCTTCCTGGGCTACGGCACGCTGACGTGCAGCTGCAGGCTCTCGTCCTCAGTCCCTTGATGACCAATTGACTGGACTACGGTCGCTCAGGAAAGTTACTTATTAATTCATTTTGGCAATAAATATTGAGAATTTAGTTTCTAATTTCCAATAGTTGGGTTAAGCCATAAGAAATAAAGAATAATGTACAATTTCTAATACATCCTCATCGAGGATGATGGTGGTTTCAACTAGCACTCAAGAAAAGTCTTTCATTAAGTTCTATAAGGCGACTTTACGCGACGGGCGTTCGAACAGCGGTCGCATGCATTCGATCTCGGCTTCATCATCGGCATTCTCTCGATCACCTTCAGCTCCTGTCATAGCAAGCTCAATATGGTAAAACAGATTAATAGAATAAATGCCTTGGAACCGCCAGGATTTAGATTTGGCAGATTTAGCGCAGTTATCGGCATTAGCAACAACCTCCACTACTCGACCGAGTTGCCAGAATGAACGGGGTTCGGCAACTTCAATTAGTGATGACATAAGCACCATGTCATTGCAATTAATTTTGTTTTTTCATTGACGGCTAGAGAAGTCTCTCCCTACTTTTAGTTGACTGGCTTCCCTTAGAAAATGAAATCGTCTCTTTCTGTCGTAATTTATATTATAAATACTTGTGTAATCTGCCCTAGGCACGCTGAATCCTATCCTTGTCACTGAAAAATATAAGTTCTGTATCGTTAGGGACCTACGTTGGCATACTGCTCATGCACGCGTATTCTATGACCTTCGAGATTTGTGCTGACTTCTCTTCTTTAATCTCTTGTTTAATCCAGGACAGTTTAGCTTTCGCGACACCGTCCAAAAAGTTTGAGGGAATAACTTGCGAAACCGTAGATATTAACATGTTAACGAATGTAGTTCCAAAAAACAAATTTTGAGCGTAGAAAATGCCATATGACCAGTAGGCCAAGCTATTATATTCTCATTTAGAAACTGTGATCCATGTCATATCCTCATAGTTTATACAAGGTTCCCGAAGGATTGATAGAATATGAAACAAGAACCAACACCAGGGGCCACGGCTATAAACTAAAAAAAAACTGCGCCGCAACTTATCAACACGACAACATTTCTTCTCGCTTCGAATTACCGACATGTGGAACAGCCTCCCCGATTACATCGTTGGCGCTCTGAGTATGAACGCGTTTAAGAACAGACTAGATAAAGCTATGGAAAAAAATATATTCAGACTTGAAACGCCTAGCACCATCTCGAACCCGGTGGAAGTCTAGTAGCTATTTCACACTATCGTCAAACTTGAAAAGATGTGGTCAAATCACACGATTTTATCTTCAGTGAACAAGTCACGAAAAGTTTAAGAATCGGCTACAGGCCACATCAGGCCTACTCTTCAGCGCCGACATCACCATGTTATGTTATGTTACATCTTTTACCGTTTCATCCACTCAGCAGCAGTAGCGCCTCTCGATACATCTGCACGATTATCCGTATCGAAGTATGATTGACAGTAAAATAAATAAAATTAGGAGATGAAGATAGTTTCGGATCGAATCCTTCAGTGTCAAGCTTTGAGATTATTAAGGATGATTTTGCTGACGCTAGCTGTTATTATGTATAGCCACGAATTAGGCTTAAGAATTAAATCTATAAACGTTAAAAAAATAGTTCTTTGCTCATTTACGAACCCTGTATACAGCATCAGCAATCCTCTCGGAATTGATTATGAACAATTTTGGAACTGAATGAGGAGAAATTAGGTTCATGCGAAAATTATTTTGAAATTGGCAACTATGGTATAGATAATTTTAAATCAAATAACCAATAGTAAGTATAAATTATAGAGAAATATTTCGAAGTTTTCTCAAGTTTGTATAAAATTCCAAGGAAGAAATTGTCGCTGCTTTGGAGTATAGATTTAAGTATGTAATTACGGAGTAGCATTATTATGCTATCGAATAAATTTGGTCATGTGGTTATTGATTCTACGAATCCCAAGAGACGGGGCAAATGTATCAACTTTTTTTTTGCGTTGAGCAAATTTAAAACGCCCGAATTCTGAATTTTCAAAATTTCAAGGAAAAGTTCAGTTACAGTCGCCTTAGCATATTTTAATGATTGGTCTGGAATTATTTAGAGATAAGAAGTTATTGCTCTCTGTTTAAATAGTTCACGGTCGAGTTTTAGCCTTAGTTAGATGAGTTCTAAAGAATGTTATGTAACTTTAGAATAGAATAGAAGTGTCGGCGTTGAAGAAATAGGCCGATGAACTGTAAAGAAATTATACTCAGAAGCGCGCGTTATGTGAACTAGATGCTCAGCTATGCATATTAACGCATTTACTCCGTTTTCTTTTTATTATGGAGTTCAAATATGTACGTTACTTTTGACCGAAGCTTAACTTCTGTGTCATGACTCCAGCTCACAGAAATTCAAATTTCGCGTAAAAATGTATTTAATCCTGATCTGGTTTGTAGATGCAGCGAAGAGCGGATTTATCATTTTCCCATTACAAAGTGAGTGATGGGCAATAGGCTTTACTCGAGTTTATCCACGATTCTCCAAGCTCGATGACTGCTTGAAATCGTGTTGGAAAATTAAATTTACATGAATGCTGTGTCGGAAGTGAGAAGGGTGATAACAGCAAAGGATGCGTCAAATTACAGTGAAGGATGCGTCAAATAAAGTGCAATTGCAAGATGATCTTGACAGTTTAGTTAACTGGGCTAATACGTGGCAGCTGCTGTTTAATGCTGACAAGTGTAAAGTACTTCACCTCGGGAAGAACAATGAACAGCAAGATTTTAGTATGAAACGACATGGTTACGAGAGAGTAATGATTGAAAAGTTTAGTGTGGAAAAATATCTCGGAGTTTATGTCGACAAGGAGCTGAACTTTCTAAGCATGTTGAAACGAAAGCTAATACATCCAACAAACTTCTTGGTCTAATCAGACACTCCTACGAGTTCCTAGATGCAGAAGCGATGAAGCAGTTGTTTGTTGCTGTCGTGCGCCCGAACCTTGAGTTGGAAACGTCGTGTGGTCACCGAAACTTGAAAAGTATAAAAATTTAATAGAGAGTGTTCAAAGACGTGCAACAAGGATAATTCCAGGCTTGAAGGTCAACTCCTATGAAGAAAGATTAAAGATTATGATGCTTCCAAGCCGCAGTTATCGACGTCTGCGTGGGGACCTCATTGAAGTTTACAAGTATACTCATGGTTTATACAAGGTTCCCGAAGGATTACTAGAATTTGAAACAAGAACCAACGCCAGGGGCCACGGCTATATAAACTAAAAAAATGAACTCCGTACTCACTGCAGTGACTGACAGAAAGCGCATTTTCTCGTCGACGAAAACGTGAAGTCACGGAGGGACAGACAGACGGACAGACAGACGGACGGACATGGCAAGCACAATAGTGCATTTTTTCCATAAATGAAGAAAATGCGCTAAAAACTGCGAGGCAACTTGCCCACACGACAACATTTCTTCTCGCTTCCAATCACCGACATGTGGAACAGCCTCCCTGACTACATCGTTGGCGCTCCAATTATGAACGCGTTCAAGAACAGACTAGATAAAGCTATGGAAAAATATATGTCCAGATTTGAAATGCCTAGCACCATATCGAACCCGGTGGAAGTCTAGTAGCTATTTCAAACTATTGTCAGTCATGAAAAGATCCGATCAAATGACACGTTTTTTAGATCTTCTGTAAACAAGTCACGAAAATTTAAAAAATCAGCGACAGGCCACATCAGGCCTACTCTTTAGCGCCGACATAACAATGTTATGTTATGTTACACCAACTGCGCTGCAACTTCTCCACGCGACAACATTTCTTCTCGCTTTGAATCACCGAAATGTGGAACAGCCTCCCCGGACCCCGATGACATCGATGGCGCTCCAAGTATGAACGCGTTCAAGAACAGACAAATATATGTCCAGACTTGAAATGCCTAGCACCATATCGAACCCGGTGGAAGTCTAGTAGCTATTTCAAGCTATCGTCAGTCATGAAAAGATCCGGTCAAATGACACGATTTTAGTTCTTCTGTGAAGGCACGAAAAGGAAAAAATCGGCGACAGGCCACATCAGGCATACACTTCAGCGCCGAGATCACTACGTTATGTTATGTATGTTATTACTCATAATAATATAATATTATAATTATATTACTAAAATATCATATCGTATATTATTATAATATTATATAATATTATATTAACTTCTTTAGTTAGAATCAATTTATATGATTTTGGGAATATTATTATGGTCCGTTTAATTTACTTAGGAATATAGTTAGGTTGAAAAAACTTGTATTACCTCAATAACGGTTAGAATCAAAGTTAAAAAATGCCATAAACCTGCAAACTATGGAGGGATTTTTCTAATATTTTGAATTGCCCGCGTAACGAGCAATCAGCTGTTTGCGTAAAATCCAAATGAACCTAAAAGCTCCATGTTAATGTCTCTCATAAAAGTATCCCGGAAACAATTTGAGAATTGATGTTAGTTGTACAAATAAAAATTATTATTATTTAAAGTAAAGAAGTAGTATAAACAAAAAGTTTATACAATATTGACATTAGATTAGACGATTGTGAAAAAAAAACCCAATCACTTGCCCAGACTATTTTAAAGTGGAAAATAAAGTTATTAGGGTTATTTTTCATCCTCTTTACATTCTTTCATCGTAAATCAAACATTATTAGATGTGTATTTTTGGAACTAGTTCTTCTTGCGACTTTGTGCAGAGCCCAGCTGTGAGGAACTTCTGGCTTTTAGGGAAAATACCCCAAGGTGAAGTGAAACAAATATTTTTTTGCCATTTAATATGCATCGATATATATTTCATGAACAACTGAATTCAATAAAAAATTTCAAAATTGGAATCGAGAAATTCAAGAAATAGAACTGAAATTTTTAAATTGAGCTCCATCGGTTATAACGTATGTGTTCTCTGTTTAACTTCTGTATAGGAATAGGAGTCGAATAAGTTGTAACGATAAAAAAACCTCTTTTAGTGAATACTTAGTCACTTTAGGAGTTCGTTTTGAGTATTTGAAACTTGGAGAACAAACCGACTAATCAGTACCTGATACAAGACTGCTGACAGAATTTAGGGAATTTTCGCTATTACCGCGCCAGCAGTTTGCTTGAAGGGTAAAGAGGTTCAGGCTGCCTTAGAAGTATGTTCATGTGCTGCTAGAGACTGAGATCTTCGTCAGCTAGTCACCATTTCCGGAGAATTTAATGCGTCATTATTAGTAAGTAAACTATGATTATGTCTGCATTCTTAGTGAAGATACTTATCATGACGTTTTCGGTTGTATTTTTGCGATATAAGCTGTTTTATTTATTTGAACAGCTCACGAGGATTTGTGTTCAGGTGCTTACCTCAACAATGGCCTCGACCTCGCGATAGTTGGTTCTTTGTTGAATTTAGCAGTTAGTAAATCATGTATTCACCGATATAGTTCTTTATTCAAATAATTTTAGATAGATTGGTAATGATCCTATTAAATTTTGTGTTTTACGATGTTTTGTGGAAACTTTAGGATTGCTTTATTATGATCCCAATTAATTGCGTTTCGGAGATAGATGAAATTTATTGTTCGAGAATCGAGTTGAAACTTGAACTGAGATCACGTCACACTTTCGTTGTTGCAAATAGCAGTCGCCTATTTGCGATTTGCTAAGTTTTAAGAGATGCTCATTTACAGACCATATTTTATATATGTAATGGTACGTTTTTTTCTCACATTGTGAAGGATGGAAATTAGGTAATAGGCCATGACAATGAGATTTATCAATTTTAAACAAAGTTATTGTTTGCCAATTTTCCAATCTTGAATATGAATGAAAATTAACAGTGCTAAATGGTTCTACTTAAGGCTTCGACATGTTTTTGTGGTCTGATTTGTATATGTTTTCTTCCAGAGCATAAGTTCAGTTTAGCACAAGGTTATAAATTTATGATTTACCTATTCACAACTTTGGGCTTTCTACACACCTAGGGTAAACACACCATATTCCAACACATTAAGGATGTAGCAAGAAATAAATGGCTGTAAATAGATCACCGTATGCGCAACTCGAGTTCTGATTGGTTTACGTCGCTCTCAAAACTCCATACTATGCGCCAGCAATGACAAAACATCACAAACTGTTGCCATATTTATTTAAAAGCCTTTAGAAATTAGAATTCAAATCTACAAAGTCGCTGAATTCTGACACTGTGTGTGAGTGTGTGACTAAATGTGGCCTAATGTGAGACTAATTCTGACAGCGCTTCAAAATCGTAATTCGTAATTCTGACACCCTGTGTTGGAATTAGTTTTTGTGTCTGAAAGTCTCTTAAATCAATCATCTATTAACTTATTTACAACTTAAAATCAGCAAATACAAGTACCGTAAAATGGGGTAACTTAGACCACTTTTTTTCTTATAAATGCTGCCATTTTCTTACTAGCTAAATTAAACTTGAATTGAAACATGCAAAATACAGGTCTATGCTCTAGCTTCACTCACCATAAATTGCTGGCTCCTGCCTCTCATAGTCTTTATGTAATTTAAAAAAAAGTGATGGTCTTTGTTACCCCAGCTCTTGGGGTAACTTAGACCGGGTGGTAAAATCAATTATTTTTTTTGTAAAATAACTCCAAATAACTCCAGGTTTTGGTGCATTGTAGTAGAACTCTTCTAGTTACATATGCAAATGACAAACTTGAGGAAAGTGTCATAGTTTGCAAATGGGGGGCACCACCCCATAATGAGGGAAATGTGACTCCCTAATGGCAGCCCTGATGGGATAATATTGACTGGCTTGGATATTAAGTTAAAATTACCATATATAAGACTCTGTAGTCTGTAGAGTCTGAAACATAAAGAAAAAACATAAATAGGCTGTCAAACATAAAATATGTTATATAAGGTAATTTTATATTAACTTCCAAGCCGGTCTATGTTACCCCATCAGGGCTGACATTAGGTGGTCTAAGTTACCCCATTTGGGGGCGGCGCCCCCCATTTGCAAACTATGACACTTTCCTAAAATTTGTCATTTGCATATGTAACTAGAAGAGTTCTACTACAATGCATCAAAACCTGGAGTTATTTAACCAAGAAATAAAAAAATTGGAGTGGTTACTCTGACAGGCTTTAAATAATAGCTTTTTTTTGTGGGTCACATTTTTAATTTTTTAACCTATTAGATATGCAAACTTTTTAAATCTTTCTATTGTGTTGTGTAGCCCCAGTATTAGGCCTTTAATGCCCATTGACAAAATTTTTCTATGTCAAATAGTTTTTGAGTTGTGGGGGTTTTTGTAAAAAAAAACGAAAAGTGGTCTAAGTTACCCTGCCGGTCTAAGTTACCCCATTTTACGGTATACTTGAAGGATTCCTAAATATTTTCACACACTTATTTAGGTCTCAAACCTTAATATTATTTCTACACAATCAGTTTATCACTATTTGGTATAGCAAGGTCAACTATCAACTTTCATACGTGTTTCGATGTTCTCACTACTCTGACTTGGACTTTCACTCTGCGGATCTTAACATTTTCCGCTTGACCTAGTGTTTTGCGGAAATCCTGCACTCAATAGTATGACGTCACTATTTCAACCATCTATGCATGCGTGGAAGTCCAGTGTGGAATTCTGTATAGGTAATATATTCTCATGTTACTATGAAAAAAGGTATCAAAAACAAACCCTACCACCACGTTACACCACCTTCCATTGCAGTGAAAATTGATAAACTGTGCTCATTAGAAACTGCCACGCTTCCAAAATCACACGTGGTTTGAAATCCAATCCCCTGTTGCCAACGCCTAATCAAGTTAACTAGTCATTTATCTGTAGGTTAGTGGACACATTTTTGCAATGAATACGCTCTATAATGAAATAAAAACACATCCACATTCGTAAAATTTTTTTTAAAATTCTCACGATTGGACAATACCAACCAAAGTTTTCAATATCACACAAAATTATGAGATAAACTGCTACTGTTAGAGGTATTAAGGGGTAGCTAGGTATTTAATTCAGTTGCACGTTAGCCCACGTGATATGTAGTTCTGCTCGTCTGAACTCTGAGTTGCGTGTTTAGTGTGCATGATGGAAAACTCTGCTTTGCAGCATAGTTATAATTACCTAATGAAGTTTAGTTCATTGCAGTCAACTTAAGTGACAAATTTTCAACTAACTAATACTTTTTATAAGTCTAATTTTAATTGTTGAGTGAAAGGTGCAGGCATACAACTTCCAAGTGATTAGGTACTTTATAGAAACTGAGCAAGTTAGCGTACATGTTTTAAGCCTTTAAGAAGTTCATTTTTTGCCTTAAATAAAGATGTTTGGTAGAAAAAGTGGTCTTGGTGGATCAAAATAATATATGAACCTTCAAAATTAGAATTCCATCCTGCGTGGAACTAAGACAAAGCTTAAGGCCCTGATTGAAAACCGAGAGGCTTCGAACAGGCTTGGCTCTTCACTAAGCGTTTCTTCACTAATTAGGATAGACTTTACTCCACTTGCAAATGAGATGGCGATATGGATTTTTCCATACTTACCCAGCTATTTATTTATAAGCGTTGACCAGTAACAAAAAATATGTAAACTTTGTATTAAAAGAGTTTTAATGAGAGGAAATTTCAAGAAACTTTGAATATTATTGTTCATCATGTCTGCGACTTTTTTTACTTTTTTCGAGATGTTAACGGGTTGTAATTTTTATTCTCCATTGAATGGTATACTCGGCATTCCTTGATCAGCCTCCTTGTTGTAGATGTTTTCTACCGAAAAATAGTTATGATCGAGCCTGCTGATACGCGGAGGGAAAATCCCGCATACTAGCTGCTCAAATGGAGGCATTGTGCAATGTTTGAGGGGAAAAAGACGTCGTAAATTACTCAACTGTCAGCTCACGACGGGTGGCATGGTAAAGGCGAAGTCAATGAGGGGCGAAGAATAATACGTGGCCAGTGGTCGGCCTAGTCCAATTAGTTATAGCCGACCGTTGGCCATTCCTTGGCCACCTGAAAGCGATCAGTTGCTGTGAAGAAGGGTCTGGCTAGGATATCATATTACAAAGAGTACAAGCTTGAGGGTAGCGACTGGCCGAGCTTTGGGCAGATCAAGGATTTTACATGATGGTCATGAAAACCTTGCTCTCAGACTTCGCTGCATTCTGACTACAAGCCTTAATATAAAGGAAAAAGTTGAAGGGTGTCGGAATTACCCACAGTGTCGGAATATGGTGCGTTTACCCTATTGAAATAGTGGTACTGCAGTAGTAATGACTAATGACTCTGATCTGCAGGCAGTGTGGAATTCAGGATAGGCAATACATATACATCAGAAAAGGGATTGAAAAGCCTACCACATTACACCTCCCACCATAGTGACAATTGATACAAAGAACTTGTGAGAAACTGTCGCATTTTGATATCTCGTGCGGTTTGAAATTCAATACCATGTCAATGACGCCTTCTTCAAATACATTCACTAGTTTTTTTATCCACATGTGACATTTTTGAAATGAATTTGCTTTAAAATACAATTACGTCAACTTCTGCAGAAAACTTTCAAGATTTCACCAATACCAAAAGTTTTTGCAACCACACAAAATGATGGGATAAGCTGCAATTCTTTCTCGGCATATAGGAACATTGTGCTGCCATGTAAACATTTGACAAGACTGTGTCCCACACGTTTTGGTTGTGTCAAGTTTGATTTCACAATAAATATATTTGATCCAAATTCCACACTGAGATTTGATGATGGAAAGTTGTTTCAAAATTTAAATACCTATTGATAAATGTCCAATTATGAATTTTTTCATGTTTTTGCCCCATTATGTTAATATTGTCTTGATAACTTCACTTCAAATTCTGAATGATATCATCTCCCAGTGCAAGTTTCAAAACGTCTCGTGTCTTTTAGAAAATGTTCATTGTTTAGAAGGGGCAATTATTGCATTATATAAATCATTGAGTGCTTAGGCATGTGCCATGAGGTGTATTAAATAATTAAATTTAATTTAATAAAATTTAATTTTTAATTAAACATTTTTTAAATATAACTAATTTCTACAGAATGTACCATGTGGTATATTAAATAATTAAATTTAATGAAATTTATTTTTAATTTATTTTTTAAAATTTAATTTAATTCTACTGCTGCAGCTGGTAAAAATAAGCATCATAGTAAAGAAGGTAAAATTGTCATTCATGCATCCCAAATTGAATGACAATGAATGGATTTGGTAGGTATTAATCCCATTTATATATAAGAATGGAAATGTCACTTCTATTTCAGAATCTGTTTTTGAATGCATATGTGAAACTACCGTAATACCTAACAGCGCTAAATGGGATTATGTCTAAGTCATGGTAAACACCGTCAACCGGGGCTACTCGGGATGGGCGGGGTAACTCGGAGCAGTCCTCCGACATGGCATAGAACTGTTCTAGTAGCAAAACTAATTGGAATATTGCAAAACTTAATATAGTGGTGTAAACGTCAACATTTTTCCTGTAGTATGAAGCAAGTTCAAAAATACTACATTTACTAGCTTTGAAAAATTCATGAAAAAAATGGTGAAAAACAATATTTTGAGAAGTTACTTCTGCTAAGGTCTGTAGTCAAAAAATATTTGCCGGATTAAAAAATTTCACATAGAAAAAAGTGGCAGACAAGTGTCAGCATCAAAACTTGATTTGCGGAATTTACATACCTCAATCCAAAAAAAAAATGCCGGCCATTTCCGCACAGTGGGGCTACTCGGGACACCCCCCTGGGGCTACTCGGGACACCCCCCTGGGGCTACTCGGGACACCCCCCTGGGGCTACTCGGGACACCCCCCTGGGGCTATTCGGGACACCCCCAAAAACGCATTTATAGTAGAACCTCAGTTAGCAAAGGCTCCAGTTAAGAAACAAATTGATTAAAAACAAAGAATATTGATTACATTTACCTCGCTCAGGAAAAAAATTTCACTTATCAAAAAATTAGTGCATTATTGGTCCTCACAAAATTGTGCATAGAAAGTCATGTATAGAATTGTGCACAGGCATCATAGAACGAAAAGCAATTGACCTAAGCTATGATTTATTTCTCCAAAACATATGATGGTTGTCACTAAAATATTCCTTTCTGTTTCAGGTATGTTTTTCACGATATTTTTTTATAGTAAATTCACTTAACCCAATTAAAATGGTGTGAAATTACAAGCTGTTCTGTAAGCTTACAGATACAGAAAAAATGCTATAAGGCTGCTGATATGAAGCTTGCAGTGGACAAGGTAGTTGAAATGCTCAATGGCATGTTCATGGAGACAGTAATATCACATCAATAATATGGTAACTAATGTATATGGTAATATATCAATAAAGGAAAAACAAGTAAAAATCATAGAAAATGTCATTTATTCTACCTCTACATCATCTACAATGAAAGAGGAGGACTTCAGAGTACTGTTAGTAATGAATGAGTACACTCTGCATGCTTCAAACGTTTTAAAATGAAGTTTTATTCCAAGTGTCCTGAGTAGCCCTGTTCGACGGTGCTACTCGGGACACTTTTTTTGCTTCTGGCACCTTACAAATAGCATATGGAATGTTTTTGGAGAAGCCATGTGATAGCCCTTGCAAAGAGCTTTGAAATGAGCCTAAACTTGTTCATGAAATGTTTCTTGGTAAGAAGTTATGAATGAAACGTTCAATATTGCCCGGAGTAGCCCCGGTTGACAGTACAGTAACCGTAATATTACAGTATTTACATACCATAATATTACAGTTGCAATGTCATACTTTCGTCAGTGGCATTGACATTGCTAACTGTAATTTGAATTTGAAATAATTGCAGTTCCTTGTTAGCTTTCACTGAGTGAATGTGTATGAGATTTTGCTCCCACAAAATAGCTTCATTCTGCGGTGCTTCATGTTCAACTTTATTGGTGGCATGATTTGTTATTAATTCATAAATGTGGATTTGTTGTGATTGACATAGAAATAATTTGCTAATGCATTCATATTTAGCCTAATTGAAATCTTGAAGTATTGCAACCTTTATTCCTGATTCTTTCAAGTGTAACTTAAATCCCACCTATTTTTATCCTTTCTATCTTAACTAAAATTTTTGGTTCAAAAAAGTGGTGGAGGTGGATTGAAAATAATATATGAACCTTAATTTTTAGAATTCCATCCTGCCTGCCTGTGACAAACACAAAACCTACTTATCTAGTGGCAAGCCCATGACTTGATTTTTGGAGCTGCAAGTTCTTAGTTTTGACCTGTGAGTTTATTTTTTGAACTGTAAATTAATTTTCTAGACTGTTGGAAGCCATTTTTGAGCTGCAAACTTATTTGCTAAACCATGAGTTCATTTGACAGGTTGTGCACACAGATTAGGCCAAATTGCTAATTTTGCTCTAAATGTAGCAACAAGAACATTTTTCTTCAACTAAAAGAGATTTAACACAGTAATAATGTATTTTTCATATTTTTGTGCAAGCAATGCAGTAATACCGGTAATGCAGTCTGACACGAGTGCAATTATGCCATTGTCAAAGAAATGTTTTGAGATGCAGTCTTTGTGCAGAATATTTGGCAAAAGCATGGTACTAAACTGCTAAAGTTCAAAATTTTGTGAATGACTCATTTGCCAAGTACGTGTCTTTGAAACTGCAAGATTTTAAAAATACCTAGCAAAATGCTGTGATATTTTAGTAAGATTTAGGATTTGCCATTCCTGTATGTCACCAAAATTGCTGCCTGCCAAAATTTTCACCAGCGTATGTCTAAGTCATAATATGGGTTATTTTGAAATCTTATGGCTTAATCATATCAAATCTGCAATATCAACCAGAATCTTCCAAAAATCACTGGCAAAAAGAATTTTCAGGTGATTGTAATGAATCCCAGGATAAATTGTGCTGTGTTCCTTCATTTTCACTAACTAATTTAGCCATAAGCCTAAGTAATATTTGTAACTTTTGAGAAATATTTTAGCTGGTTGAAAATTGTATCTAAAAAATGGTGAAATTTATTTTTTGATCATTGGAGAAATAGATATTTTTTTCAATGCCAGGGTTGAATTTCAAGGACATTTGTTCATTTATTTAATATTGATCAACTAGTATTGCTTACTGAAGCCAAGTTTTTTAAGATTGATAAATGAGTACTTGTCTATGATGTGAAATGCAAAAATGTTTCTGGTGAGTCAGCAAGTTAGTGAAAGTCATGAAACTACTAGAAGCCTTAGTGCCAAGAAAATCTGACCTATCACCCACTCTTAACTTGCTGCTACTACCAATTGCAACAACTCAATCCAAAAATATCAGCCAACCTATAAAGATAGGTCCAATTAAGGTCGTTCAATCCAATAGGATATCTGTACCAATATATACATGTTGAAATATTACCCTGCTCATTCTACCCCAATCCATTATAATAATTCACTTGTGCCACTGTGGATCAAATGCCAGACCAAAAAACTGAATCTCCTAATATTGTAAAACTAAAATGAAATCATAAATATATGTAAACATTGTACAACATAGAATAATTGTGCAATGATTTATTTATTGTGTGTTTGTCTAAAACAGTGGTCCCTCAAGTGGGCAATATCTTTCCCATGGGGGTGGTGGAAAGATCTGGGGGGGCAGTGAGGAAGAAAGGGACAGTAGGGGGGTGGCAGTCCGTGAAGTCGAAGTCAGAAGTTCTTACATTTGTTTGACGATTTGTACACAACACATGCAGAACATGACTCCGACTCAAATAAATTTTTACGAGCTAAAAATTACTGTTTGGTAGTTTATAATTATTTATTATTTTAAGAATTTATATCCAAAGTTTTGTTCAAATCTGTTCAGTAGCTTGGAAGAAATTCTTTGATCACTGCAAATTTTGGCCCATATTGCCATATAACTCAAACATGAGGGTGAAATTAACAAATTTTTTCACAAGCTAAACATCACCACTAGGTTCTAATGAACACGTGTTCCAAGTTTTATCAAGCTGTGTTCATTAGTTTGGGAGATATTCCTTGGTCACTGAATTTGGAGATTGGCCGTGAGATGGGCTGCGAGACCAGCCACGAGTCCGGCTGTAAATTTGTCTGAGCCGTCATGAATTTCTAGTGCTGAAACGGTTAAAACTGTAAAAAATATATTGGTTTACTAAATGGGGTTCTATTTAAAAGTTTGGGAACCACTGGCCTAATCACAAGATTTTCCAATTTCAGTTTGAAAAATTGTATTTATGGTTGAATTGCTACCATAAATATTGATTATGCCAGGACATGAGGTTACTGGTTTTATGGAAAGAAATATGTTGATTACTTGTCTGAATTGGAGTTAGTCATGAGCTAAAATGTTCAGCCCTGGGCAGCTTTTTCTTTCAATGGATATTTTATATTAAAGCAGTGAAGTTATGTATTATATATATAATGAGGCTGGTGGTTGTTGCAGGAGTGAAAGAGATTAGACATTGATTGAATTTGTGGGTGGAAGCTTGTTAGTTTGTTTGGAGATTTGAATTTACCATGTGAAATCACTTTGTTGTAAAAGGTTGACTTTGTGTTATTGAAGAAAAAATTGGCCCTGGAAATCATTTGTCTGAACTCTTAGCCTATTTTTCTGCACTTAATTAGGTTTTCTTAAACTGGACATTTGATGTGAATTGAATCTTCTAATAACTTTTTTGACCTCATTTTATTTGCATGTGCATTGTACAATTGTAAATAGATTTGAATGTATCATAATTTCAATGTTCAGTCATCCTTCAAAGTGCAAAAATATTTGTAAAATTTCCCTACTTGCAAAGTTGCAATTGTTGAAATGATCTGTCATTCATTATATGCATCAAACAGTAATTAATAAAAAACAAATTAAAAAGCTTGATACATTTTTTAGGATTATATTCTTTACATAATATTCATAGCTTTCAAATTAGTATGTTGTCCTATTTGTTTCAGATGTTGCTTGGTTTCAAGGAATATACTCAGTTCTCATTAATCCATCCTCATCAAACTTATTACTTCACTTGGGAATCCTAATTAAAACCCAGAACAGGATATCATTCCTGGTCAGTATTTGTTATTGAGTGAACCTATATTTTTCTGTACTTGATTCATTTCTTCTTCATATTGCTTGTAGTAACATTTTCATCTGAATTGTTTATTATTTTTATTAAGTTTTTGTATTTTTCAAACTGGCATTATCTAATAATTACTTTGATGTACAATATTGAGCTTACCTTGATATTAATGATGAATCACTTGGGGAAAATGCCACAGAAGTGCATGTAATTATATCGATCCAGATTAGTATTTTGTTGTGTAATGTTTGAGCACAATTGCTAGCAGTATAAGATATATTTGCTAGCTCTATCTTCAAGATAATGAATGCATAATTTTGGTCATGTTACATTGCAGGTGTTGTTGGCATGCCTGTAGTGTGGTGTGGCAGTGCCTATGGCCGAGCTGCGGAGCTGTGAGGCTGGCAGCATACCACTAGGGGGGTCTCGGTTGCCAGCTCCAGCCTCATCACAAGGTGCTAGTACTACTAGCATCAACTCATTCAAAAACGGTTCAAGCTCTTCCCGCAACACTCCCTCTCGTTCTCAACACAGCTCATCAGTTGCCACTTCGGTTATTGTGAGCACCTCTGTTAGGAGCCCAGGTTGTCGTAGGAGCAGTCTGAGCTGCAAAACCCCTCCCAGCCCAAGCGTTGCGACAAGAGCACGCTCATCAAGTGGTAGCAGTGGCAAGAGTTGTAACGCTGTGGCCAGCTCGCAACTTCCTTCTGTCTCGCCTGAGGCATCATCCACAGTGGCCAGTGTATCCTCTCTTCCTCTGCGAAAGCGCAAGTTTTCAGCTCTGGATTGTTCTGCAATTGATCTCAGTGTTAAGGGTTGCCAGGATAGTGGCCCAAGCAGACCCAGTTCTCCTGTAACTAACTCACTTCCCAGTAAAGAGGAGCTCTCTTGTCCAGTGACAAGAAAACAAGCTGCTAGAGCAGCTGCTGAAGTCATTGTTGGTCCAGCAGCATTGAGTCCTGCTGAACATCACACTCCCACGAGGAGGTCGCACAAGGCCCCACGCTTGAGCTTGCCTTTAGGCCCCTCACCTCCTGTGAGAGATCAGCGAATCACGCGCCGCAGTTTGGCTGTGTCCTCCCCAGCTGCGTCTCCTGCTAATACCAGAAGACAAAGTCTGAGGTCCCCGCGAGTGAGATCTTCCGCCAGCTCGTCACCTTCAAGGTCCCCATTGACCCCGCGAAGGCTCACTAGACTTAGCGCCCAGTTAGGAGTTGGCGGCGATTTGGCCAGCCTCCCTGAATCCTTGCCACTTGCCTACCCTGCCAAGAGAAGGAGGGTCACCAGCGGCAGAAGTACAGGCTCTGTAGATTCGGTGAGATAAAAGTGAAAAATTTATTCATGGTTGCCCGCAGTGCCGATATTTGTATATATACTCGATTAAATAGTTATTATATTGTTTATAACACTTATTTTTCAATGTAGTGATTCTCTTTTTGATGGGAGGGATAACTTACAATGTTTTGTGTTTTGCATTTTGAACAGACCGACGGTCCCAGCGAGTCGAAACGCGCGCGTCGTGTATCGCCCAACGCTCCGTCGTGCAGCAATAGCCCTGCGTGTGGGGCTGCCCCGACGCACCCCCAAGTCCATAACCCTAAATATCGCTCCCTAAAAGTCGATTCTTCTGAAGCCATCAACGTCGCGCTGGCTTCTTCACCTGGCAACTCGACTTCCTCCTCTCCACCATCCTCTTCATCATCCTCATCGTCATCTACTGCGGGTGTCTTCAGCATTACAAATCTCGCTGAATTTTCTCACCCCGTACAGACCCCCCCGGCCGTTCAGAGCTCAACCCCTGCTGCCTCCAGTAACCCCACTGGCAACTTCTTGGATCTGCCTCTTTCAGTTCTGCCTCTGCCACAAGGTAAGACCGAGCATGCCAGTGTGCAGATACTCGAACGCTCAAGACTCATATTACGTCGCATTCCATAACCTCTATCAGTGAGAATTACCTTTTAAATCTATAATTTTATTGTTAATTTTCCCTAATTTTCTTTTTACTTTGTCAATTATATATACCTTATGGTAAAAATAATTCTTCAGCTTCAGTTGAGATCGGCTTAATGTTTTTCCCCCAAGTAGCAGTTTTCCCCACGTCCGAAATTGTTTGGAAAGTTTGGGTGTTTCTTTTATTTTGTAAGTTATCTTATATCGCTGATGCCGGTGAAATCGTCCTCTTAGTCTTCCATGCACTTGGTAGAACCTGAGATGGGTTTATTATATATTGGTTTGTTTCTGTCAAAGAATCTCATAGTTCAATCTGGAATAAATCTCATTTTGAAGCCGTCAAAACTTGATAATTGATCTTCATGGTCAAATAATGTTTTAGTCGCGTACTATCGGTAAGGTAAATACATGAAAACGGTTGTCTCATCAGTAAAGTTTTTCTAGATCAGCTTCACCATTAAAAGAAATAGCAATTCAAATGAAAACCTGTGAATCTCCAGAATTTTAATCATTGTATATAAATAGGTGAATTTTTTTTCGATCGAGCGCTTTGAAATGGAAAATTATTATTTGCTTTGATTATATATAATAGATAAAACTCAATTGTGTAACATCATCTGTAAGAAACTGGTACTAGCAACTATCCGACTTCCGGGCCTCCTATATCGTCTCGTGTAGATAAGATAGTGGGAAATTTCTCCTCATACATTCTCGTCTCAGTGAGCTCTCATCACTTATGTCGATATAGGTCACACGATTTTGCACAATAAATGCCATGGCAAATAATCGTTAATAATTGTATGCGGGTTATCAAACTTGAGCAGTTTCTGCCTCGTGAAATGAGGTTTTTAGGTGGTATTAAATTAATCTGTAGAAAGGCATGACTTAATTTTTTTTTTCAGTGCTACGTCATGCACATAAGCTCATTATCATTTCATTCCTGTCATCACAGGTGCGTCATCTTACACTCCATTCGGCCATTTAGCATAAAAGCCAGTTTTAAGTTGAAAAGATTTTGTGAAAAACACAAAGAGCGAAACGCTTGTCACGCTATAAAATGATTCAGGAAGTTTGAACCGAAGCTTTTGTCCTCACCAGGATATTCTATAAAGCGGCTAGTAAAAGCTCCAAAATGGCTAGCACAAGCATTGATACTAGTGCTTTGCCATCGAGAGCTGGTGCTAGTTCAAGGTCAGCTGTGACTAAGCATCCACAAGTTGATGGCAACGATATAGGCATTGAGTTGATATTCGATGACGTCGACGACACCGATGTTCCATCATTTGTTTGCCTGGAAATAAATTCAAACAAACGCCATCGCACCGACTCGAGTGCCTGTTTATATGGGTTGCCCGAAAAAATCTTGCGTCTATCAGAGTCTCTTCCCTCCGACCTAAATGAAAAATCTCCTGAAGAAACCCTGGTTACGACTTCTTGTATCAAGGCTCAGCCTCCAGCTACCTTATTCAAACCGACGGCTACTGCTGATCTTCATCCAGCTTTAGAGAGTACGCGAACAAGGGTTCGTCGAAAAACTGGGTCATTGCAGTTGACGGTGTTGACGTCCAGAGACTTGGACTCCAAAACTAGGCCTATCGTTGAAAGTTCCAAAGGAAATTTTCAGTCTTCACAACGCAGGAGGAAGCTCGGCGCTATAGTTAGTTACAGCGATTCGGCTAATTTTTTACCACCTACTAACACGGCTGTTCGTCTTCAGGCTAGGTCAAGGAGAGACTTGAAGTGTTCTACATTTCATAAACCCTCCTTGCCCAACAAACATCTTGGCAGTGTTTCCTCACGTAAGCAAAATTTATTTGGCGATTCATCTGCTGCATCACGAGAGCCTGTAAGTAAGATACCAAAATCTGCTTCCAACTGTACAAAACCAACCACCCACCCTTCTCGATTTCACAGTTCTTCCGTTTCAGCTAAAAATCGCGAATCTCAAGCTTTCATAGATTCAGCTTCAGTTAACGCATTGCCTTCAACGTCTAGAATCGCCCTTGAGACAATGGAACCGCGCGGAAATATGCCCGGTTCTCTAAGAAGAGGGAAAGGCAGCTTCAGACGTTCTAACAGGCGTTTACTTGCAGGAAATTATTCTAACGGCCCGGCTCTAGATTCTGTCGACGAGTCTTACGGATTCCATCAAGGCAGAGGAGGATCTTGTGGGGATCAAAATCCGGGCAGAGGTGCTCGCCAATTCCCTACATCGTTGCGCAATGGCCGAGCTATCCGTACTTCTCGAGCTGCATATGCTCCCGTTGAGCGTCCTAGGGGTGTAAGTCCTGGAAATATTCAAGCAAGGGCAAGGTGCCCGATTCGCAGTCATGCTACTAGAACCAGAACATTCCCTTCTACTAGGAGTACAACGAATCTCGATTCAAACCCTCCAAACAGTCGTTCCAACCACCGTTCATTTCGCCATCGTGCTCATGGAAGAACAGCAGATGCTCAAAGATTTCCTGTCCCTCCGGAGCCTTTCATTGAGAGCAATCCTCTCAGGTCACGTGGCCAAATTCGTAGCTCAAGTCGATCGCGTCAATTTTCCGGTCGCATTCCTGAAGCGCCCGTAAGCTCTAGTCAATCGAATGTTTTTCTTAGTTGTACTGGTGCCAATAATGAAACTTCTACTGCAAGTAGAGTGCATTTGTATACAACTCGTCGCTCTGTTGGTAGGGCGATAGATCAAAGATCGTCTATGGCTCGATCTTCCGTCAGGGTGAGGAGTAATCCAGTGCCTCGGACGCTGGTGCGGCATGTGAACATGGCTCCGCCATCGTCCTATGTTAATCCGTACGCCAGAACTTATGTTACCCATACTTCAAATCTAACGAGCTCTGTATCTGAATCCATCGAAACGTCAACTACTCAACACCATTCGAGTGACATTGTTCATGTAGGCAATCAGATTGAAGGTTCCTCTCATGCCACCGACAATACACATGTCAACACCTTGTTATCGACTGCCTCGAATGTGGGTAGCATCAACCCTGTGTTATCGACTGCTTCGAATTTGGGTAGCATCAACCCTGTGTTATCGACTGCTTCGAATTTGGGTAGCATCAACCCCGTGTTATCGACTGCCTTGAATTTGGGTAGCAACGTGGACCATGACGACCTTATATCTCTTGAACTTGACGAGGAAGATGACTTGGCTTGCATGCTCAATATATTATGCAGAAACGCCCAGAATCGGATGGCCAGATCGCCAACTCCAATACGCGACATTGACCATTTATATGACAGAAACGATTATGTGCCTCCTGCTATGAACGATTTCATCATGGTACAGGATTCTAACCAAGACGAACTTGCAAATCAAGGGAACAGAAGGGTTAATTCAAGTCGCGATCTTGACGCCAATTCCTTGATGTTTTCTGATGATGATGATGGTTTTGATGGCCAAAGAAACCTTGCCTTGATGCAAGACCTGCTCACGATTGATCACCCCATCGTTAATTTGATTCTTGATCCAGAGTCCTATGATATCGAACGCTTCATGCAGGATATGACTCCCACTCAATATATTCAGATACTCGATCATCCTGAATATGTACGCATAATTAGCTTGGTACCAGAAGAAGTCGAACGCATACTGTTAGAATTTCCCGCGGACTTGTACAACAGCGCCAACGATGACAGCTTTTCATCTGAAGACGCATCGCCACCACGGGAATTAAATTTAAATATGCAAGAAATTTGTCCCAACAAACCGATTATTGTACCGCAATTTGCTCTAATCTCATCGGACGAAAGTTGTCGTCCGAAATCTTCCGAATCGGGAATTGTCCATGACGCAAATGCATGTGCTTCCTACAGTGAGAGCTCGGGTCGTTCTTGTCATCAAGTAAACCAAGATATTCCTGAAAGCAGAGCCGATGCAACTTCAAATCAATCAATAGCTCTTGAAGCACTGAATACTTCAACGCTTGTTTACGTTACCGCCAATAGTTGCATTAATGCAGCAACCGTTCCGGCCCAGACACAAGTTGGTTGCACTCCAATATCTAGACAAACTAATGTCTCGACTGCGTCAGGTAACTAGTGAAACATCACTCAATTTGGGGAGTATTTTTGCGTTTTTAATACATTGGCCTGCAGAGGAAATGTAATTGAAGTATGTAATATTTCTTGTTGCAGTTGGAGTCGTAGCGAAGTTTTCTAATTTTTGCATAATGGTTCTCTATTTGTACACGAAATTATGTGTAAATTTGTAAAGCCATTCTAGTTTGTCAATTGCTTAGAAGAACTAACTCGTACATAGCGCTTAACCGATAATGTGGAGTTCAAGTGGGATGCGTATATGCGAATCAAAATTAAATTTTTACACATTTTATTAATTTTACTTATATTGCCGAAAAATTTATAACTCGTGGAAATCCGTAGAATGAGGTATAAGATGTTTAAAATGGTAAAACGTTCGCCTTGAATTGGATCATTTTTCTTCATCAATCGAGTCCACACTTAGGTAGAATTTATTCATTTGCCTGAAACGTTGAAATACTACGCTGGGACCATAATTTATTAACCTTACGAATCTGTCCTGATGTAATTTATTGAATTCAATCGCTGGAACTGAGTAGTAATATCATCCTAACACTTATTTCGCTTCATGTGCCACAATGAAGCAAGATTCAAGTTTGGCAGTTGTTTCCGTGGTAAAGGAAGTATCCGTAAATAACAGCTTTCGGATGCAGTTTTATGGGTTCGGAATGTTTTCGTTAACGGATTCCAATGTTTTTTTAGATCAGTTTGTCCAAACTGTTTTTTAGACCAGTTTGTCCAAACTGTTTTTTAGACCAGTTTGTCCAAACTGTTTTTTTAGACCAGTTTATCCAACTAAGTTTGATTATTTGAAATGATGTTCAGATATGCCGTACTGTCGTATCATAAATGTTATGAAGATGTAGCAGTGTGGGTATTTTTCTTCACTGAAACCTTGACACTTTTTCCGGACTGGGGACAACATGTTTACTTGCTTTAAGAATTTTTCTTCCAGTTTTTGCTATAAGACATTCCCCCCCCCCGTTTATTTATTTTTTCTTCTAAAATAATCATTTCGAGCATTTTTTCAAGGCGCATTTATGTTGAGCATATCTCCATATTAATCTTAGTACAAGTTAAATCTGCATGCCCTTTGCTTCTATGTAATATTGAGTACGATAAATAAGAGAGAATAGGAATAACTAGTACCCTTTGTTATTTCTATTCTTCCTCTGGGAAGGTTTAGCTTGAAGATTGATTAGATTTCTTCCACGTACTGGAACCTTTTAAGGATCTGACGAGCTTGTTAGGGTTTCTGTGGAATTATCGTATGATTAATTAATTTTGATGGAACCTGGAAGTTATTTGTGTCGTCTAATCCATCTCATGTACGGAGTACTGTTAACAAATACATTGGAATTTTATACTCGTATTGCATTGAGTGTGGCCTTTAATGTTGGCATGCTTTTTCGGTCATCACTCACACATTTTGATTTGATCTCGATGGACGTTTTAAGTGTCGGGAAATTATTTGCAATGCTTTGAAATCTAACCTGCATCCCAAATTTATTTAATTATGTCCTCGTATTGATAATTTTGAATGCCAGTGCTGTTGTCCTGGCGAATTTTCGTTGGTAACAAAATACAGCTCGAGTCCTGATTCGATATATTTCTATGAAGATTCTTTATTTTAGTATAAACTTGCAAAACGTTTATGCAATTTTTCACTCCACAGGTCGGTCGAATTGAAGCATAATTATTCACGTGGAATTTTTCTCCAATTCAATTACTGCTAAACTTCGCATCTTTTAACTGGAAATTTTGCAATCTCTCCAATTGATAATGAGCCCAACATTGGCACGCTTTCTTATTGCACATACATATTAATTATCGTATTATAATTTTCATTCAGGTAGCTAACTCAAGGTACACTTATTTTCAGCTGAGAGTGAGCCTCGCCGCAATTCTTTCGGCATCGTTAAGTCATATCCATTAAGAAATCGTCTGCGCAACGAAGCACAGCAGAATTACAGCGATAATTCAAGCAACATCAACGTCTCTTGCGTCTCAACCCCGAGTGCGGCAGCGACGGTTGTTGCTTCAAACATAATACCTTCGACGGGCCAGCAAGTTTGGTGCCACCAGTCTTCTCTGAACACCGTCTCGTCTGCTCTCAGTGGCGGCTTAAGTGCTGTGACTGTCGGTGGGGCTACTGGTATTTCACACGGCAGTGACCTGCCTCATTTACCTCCTGCCTTGCCCCAACACAACTCCTCCATTGGTGGTATCAGCGGGTTAGCAGGACTCGCGGCCGTAGCTGGAGGTTCCTCTAGTGGAGCCATAGACTTGTCGACACACTCGAGTCGTGCGGCGGGAATTGTGTCCACCTCAGGCTGTGGGCCTCGTTACACGCACCATCAAGTGACGCCATCTCTGCCTTCATATCACTACGCTCCTCATCATCCCCCAACGCTTCCTCGTCACCAACCTCCTCCTCCCCCTTCTCATTCCCAGACTGGGGGTTACTCCTTGTTCCCTCCGTCTTACTCGGCGCAGTATCAGTACCCTTACGGAAACCCCAACACGTACCCTCCTCCCCTTCCCTTGAACCCCTCTACAGGACATCTCCTGCAGCCCGGTTATTCGACTATTACTTGCCCTCCAGTTGGGCTTTACTCTACCACTGCTCCAACTGCTCCTGCTCCAGCTCCTCCGGGGGTCACCAGTAGCAGCGGCGGTGAGTTATGTATTAATTCATATTCGAGTTACGGTGAACTCACTCAGCCTAGCCACCTTTTGTTCTTACGATTCAATCAAATGGTTGTTATATTATTTATTTGTTCTGACGCAAACTTATTGCTCCTAGATAATTTGATTTAAATTTGTATCCTAACTGCAATGATCGTCTTGACAGGTTTTCTCACGGACACATTCAGGCGACTTCGCGACTCTCGTCGTTCGCAGCATCAAGCAGGAGATTTACTATCTAGTGCGAGTATACCTGGAGGGCTGCTCTCGACCAGCGCTCGTGGCTCTTCTCCTTCATCGTCTTCTCGGAGAAGTTCAGGCAAAGAGTCCAGGAGCTACTGGAGGGGCAGATCCAACACTGTCAGTGGTGGAGTTCCCTCGAGTGTCTCGTCGAATTCAGCTGCTGCAGCCGCAGCTGTTGGCAGTAGTGGTAGGAAATCTTCTGGCGGCAACGGTGGAAAAAGATCCAGCGGCCGCCACACAAATTCCAACAACAAAAACACCACCAACACGGGGACTTGTGCAAGCACCAGCCAGCACTGGTCAGCATGTGCTGGTAAAGGCGGCGGCGGCAGTAGCAGTAGCAGCACCAGCAGCAGTAGCAGTGGCAGTGGGGCAGCCGGTGCTGCTGCTTCTGCTCTTGGACTCGACCCTCCGCCTCCAGGTTTGTAGCTCATGTGTTGGTGCTTATCTCATTATCGTGTAATATATAAGTATGAATATTTATCTAAATTATATTGAAACGCATGCCTTTGCCAGTGAAAACTTTTGTAATGTGGTCCTGAAGTATTGATACCTGTATGAATTATTGTAGTTAATTTTACGGTTTGCTGCCTATGGTACGATAAATTAAGATGACCTTGAGATCAAAGTAAGTTTAACGTTTAAATTTTGAAATTCTTTGTTGAGGTATATGACAGACAGATGATGTTAAATGCTTGTGACACCAAAATGTTCCAAAAAAGCTTTGGTTTCTAAATGTTCTGCAAACGGTTGAGAGAATATGACTTTTAAAATAAGTTTTGGCCACACTAAAAAACTGCATTGTTCGACCGTTATCTCAAGTGCTAAATTGAAATTTACCAGTAAAATCATAGTGATCATGAATGACGCTCGACTCTACACAGGCGGTGGACCATCGGGAGTGATGTCGGGAGCTGCAAATAGCAGCAGTGCTGCTCTTGGTGCTGCTGCTGCTTCCAGTTCTGGTGCCGTGACCGCCCCCACTTCCATGGGCGCAGGCGCCGCTGGTATCCTTCTTGACCCAAGCGAAGAAGACTCGGAAATGGGGCGCCTGGAATCCCTGTTGGCTGCTCGTGGGCTGCCTCCTTCTCTCTTTGGCAGCCTGGCCCCGCGCATGCATCATCTCCTCAACAGATCCTCGGCTTCAAGTTCCATTGGTGGGCAATTGTCAAGTGTCATTTATTGATATTTGTGTAAAAACGTGTGCTTGTGTCAGAGCCCTGGTTTCACTAGAATTTTTACTTCAATTTAATGTTGTTTTTATTAGAAATTAAACAATTGGCCGGGTTTGCAGGAAGTAAAGCCAACCAACTGCTGATCGGGCTGCAGGCCACGGGCGACGAAGGCCAGCAGTTGCAAGCTCTCATCGAAATGTGCCAACTACTTGTGATGGGTAACGAAGACACCCTCGCTGGTTTCCCCATCAAACAAGTGACACCAGCACTCATAACGCTTCTCAACATGGAGCACAACTTTGACATGATGAACCACGCGTGTCGTGCTCTCACATACATGCTGGAAGCGCTGCCTAGATCTGCTGGTGTTATAGTGGATGCTGTGCCTGTGTTCTTACAGAAGCTTCAGGTCATCCAGTGCATGGATGTTGCTGAGCAAAGTCTAACGGCTCTCGAGGCTCTCAGCAAGAAACATTCCAAAGCTATACTGCAGGCTGTGAGTTGATACTTTCAAAGAGCTCCACTTTGGTAGATGAAAAGTAAATCTCAATTTAGATTAATTGAATTTACGTGCTTGTTGTTGATTTTTTCACCTGCAAGTAACTATTCAAATTGGAATACTTGTTTGTAAAAACAGCTTATGGCTGTTTTTCAAAATTTATCTGAAGTTATTTAAACTCAATTTGATCCATCTCGAATGAAGGTAGTTTTTTACTAATTATTCTTTCTGGCCATTACTGTTATTTTTTCCATTGAAGTTCTTTTAGCTAGCCTAAATTTTCGTCATGAACACATGGAATATTTTCACAAATGGTTTCTCCCTTTGAATCTATTCTTATTCATGTTGAATGTTTTTAGCGCATTTTCTCATTTATGGAAAAAAATGCACTATTGTGCTCGCCATGTCCGTCTGTCCGTCCGTCCGTCCGTCCGTGACTTCACGTTTTCGTCGACGAGAAAATGCGCTCTCTGTCGCTCACTGCAGTGAGTACTGAGTTATATTGTTTTCATCAGGGAGGAATCGCAAGCTGCCTGATGTACTTGGACTTCTTCTCACTGCCTGCGGCACGAGCAGCTCTCAACATAACGGCCAACTGCTGCCTCAACATCACGCCTTCCACGTACCACTTCGTTGAGGACAGCCTTCCTATCCTCGCCAATAGGATCTCCCCAACGGTACGTTCCTGCCGCCTATGGCGTGCATGATCACATTTCATTGTAGATTAGAATGATTTTATTTTTCTGTCTCCTTCATTGATTTAACAAGTTGGTTTTCGTCCAGGAATTACAGATTGTGTTGACGTGATAAATATTCAGACATATTTTGCAACAAAATTTCTGTCCGTACGGTAATTTTTCTCATTTACAAGTTCCTCGTATTGTGCAGGGAGACAAGAAGTGCGTTGAGTCAGCTTGTCTCGCATATTCACGCCTCATCGATAATTTCCAGCACAATCCTGAGAAGTTGCGTCTCATTGCCAAGCACTCACTGCTGAGCAACATGCAAACCCTCGTGAGTTGATTTAATGCTCTATTAACTCTTTTTTTGGCAGCATGTTTACAAATGTACCTACTCTCGTTAAAATCGAAACGTTGTCAAGTTGAGCAGTCTTAGGGGGGTTACTGTCAATTTCGATGCAGTTGGATGGAACGAAATTGCATTGTGGTACAACATTAACCGACATTTGAAGCATTTAGAATGAATTAACGTTACTTTCAGCCTTAGTATCCAACATTTTGTTTAGCTTGCTCTTATTATTTGTTTCAGCTGATGATTTGTTTGTAATTGTTAACGCTTTAAATGTATTTTTAGTGACTACCTTGTATTTTTGGTAAGATACTTATTTCTTCAAGTCTCTATCTCCTGCTTAGCTAATTGAAAAAAATTAACACATCATATTGTTTGGTATTTAATAAAAGGTCAAAAGTGTTACGTATTTGTACATGTGTGAATAAAAATAACCTATGCAGGACCTTGAGAGAAAACATCAGTATTGCTGAAGCTTGCTTAGTTTTCGATATCTAGTTGAATAACGCGTTCTGACCACTCCATGACACCTGCATGAAATGAACGTTAATTTGTCACAGTTCTGTTACGGGCCACAGAAGAGAACTGTGTTTTATATTTCATTTATTCTGAATTTTCTGACGTCGTGTAATTTTTCCTTAGGTTGTAGCCGTGCCGAGCTTGCTGAGCAGCTCGAGCTTGATCCTAGTGCTGCGTCAGATGGCTATTCTGTGCTGCAACTGCCCGCCTCTCGCTGTAGAGCTTCTCATGAACAACGTGGCGGAGACGCTCGTGCAGCTCATCACTGTTAATGGCAGTGCTGGTGGCCTTGACGGCGAGGAGGTCAGATAAAACACATTTAAAATAATGAAATTTGATGTATTTTTGTTACTTGAATTGATTCAGATTCGACGTCTGCCTTTGGGACTTTTTTGTGCAGTAATTCTGGGACCATGTTTTTCTATTTCCTATCGCTCCATGTTGCTATTGCTTTTATTCTGTGCGTGTTACGCTCTACGAGCACGTATGCTGTGCATTAAAATGTATTAGCTATGTTCTGAGCGAAGAATAAGACTTACTTGAACGGGGGCACGGCTGCTGGAGATTCGCGGTCGTGTTTGGTTGTTCAGGCGTACAAGCTAAAATGACACAGCCTATATTGAATTTTTATTTGAAATGACATCGAACGCAGTTTTTAGTTATATTTTGTTCTGTTTGTCAGGTTGAATACTTATTCTTAATCTTGATTAATGTTCCTGATACAAACCAATATCTGATGTGATTGTTCTTGTCTTGTCAGTTGGAAATCAGCGCCCGTACGCCTCAAGAGCAGTACGAGATAGCTAATCTGGCGTGCGAGCTTTTGCCAAGCTTGCCAAATACCGGAATGTTTGCTGTGGACTACAGCCTCAGTGCCACCTACTCAACCCCTTCATCCGTTAAATATACTGCCCTACCTCCTCTACCCGTGTCATCCCTGCCACCATCACTGCCATCTCTCTCTAACCCTCCACCATCGCTCCCTAACATGGCAAGCTCTATGGCTTCTTCACTATCCCTAACATCTGAGGCTTTGCATCATCCTTCTCCTCCACAACTTAGCACTGCCACGACCCAAAGCGTTCTGCAGCTCCCCTTGATGCCTCCACAGCACGGCAACGAGGCTTGCCCTCTACCAATCCATCTTCTTCCTCCCCCTCCCCTTTCTTCCCTTCCACCTCCACCCCCTCCTCCACCACCAACAACCATCACAGCCGGTGACATAGCTGAAGTTTCTGGTGAGTCAGGTTATGTTTTGTTGAACTTGTGGCATTAAATGATTTACGTCTCGTCTCTGTTGATCTGTGTGTTTAGTTAATGCCAAATTGGTGAATTGTTGTGCAAATACTGCGCTTTAAACTATGAATTTTGAAATTAATAAAGTTGGTCAATTTCATGCCGTAATCATTACAGACGCTGCTGCTGAAGATTCGGCCACCATAACTTTGAGCTCTGTCGCAACCACCGCCCCAGGAGCGAGCAGCAACAACACTTCTCCTGCTGTGACTGCAGCCTCGGTGTCAGTGTGGCAGTGGCAGGATGGCAGACAGCCATGGCAGATGTCTGTTACCACGTCAGCTGATGCTCACAAATCTGAGGTGATGATGGTGTCTAGTGGTGTTCCCCAGGTCTATCCTTAATGCTTCAAGTGGAGTACTTAAGTTTTACTCACTCTGCAACGAATTGCACGATTTATATTTATTGAGTGTAGACAAGGAAGGCAAGATGATGAATATGAATGGCTTGTGTTTCATATTTATCCCTATCAGTCTAACACCGAAAAGGACGAATTTATCGCTCGGTGTTATTTTATGTACTTGTATTACATTTTGTTTTTGTTGTTTGATTTCATGGTTATATTTTGTAACGAGGATTCTCTCCCGCCAGTCAAGGACCTCTAGTTCTCAAAACTATCTATTTTCGCTTTTAGGAAGAAGACCCGCGCAAAAGTTGCCTGGAGTCAAACGCAGAACTCGCAGCCAACTTCCTACGACGCGTCTTCAATCTTCTATATGAAGTTTATTATAAGAGTGCCGGGCCAGCAGTGAAGCATCGCACTCTTAAGGCGTTGCTGAGGATGGTTCACTTCGCTAACCCACCACTTCTTGAGGAGGTCATCAGACCTCAGGTTTGGATTTCTGCTTTTTTTCCCTATTTTGTCAATCGTTCAATTATTTTATACAACCCATCCCAATTAGAAATCACTCGTTTCACTATTACATTCTACATGTCACTATTACATTCTACTATTTACTAGATTTGGAAATTTAAAGAGTTTAATTTTATCATTGATTTTTTCACAACTCTTATTGCAGCACTTCTCGTCTCAACTGGCAACAATGCTATCATCTAATGACTTGAAGATTGTTGTGAGTGCCTTGCAACTGGCAGACCTGCTCATGAGGAAGCTACAAGAAGTTTTCTCAGTGTACTTCAGAAGAGAAGGCGTCTTGCATCAGATCAAGAAGCTTTCTGAACCTCCTGCTCCTCCCGTGCGAGCTATGAGCACCAGCTTAGGTAGCGGTGTCAGTATTACCTCGACTCCTCTTTCATCACAGCGTAACAGTTTCATAACTGTTGGCAGTTATATGCCAATGATGGGCTCGTCTAATGTGAGCAGCAGCAGCAGCAATAACATCCTCATGCCGCCTTTACCTGCATCACTTGGGGGTGGTTCTCTCTATGCTGGTACCGAGTGGCTGTCAATGGATCCGAACGTGAGTGGTTCAGTGGCATTGTCAGCTAGTCCCCTACTAGCAGCTGCACGCTCCATCAACAGTTTAGGCGAACCAAACAGCATGAGTTTGTCTCTGCATAACGCATCCATGCCTCACCTGGCTACTGCTTCTCCAATGAACTCGAGTCACCTCACTCCCATCATTGGGTCCAGCTCTGCGCATTCCTCACTGACTCCTTCCTCTGCCCAAAATTCTTCAATGATGCACAGCTACCCTCCTCCCCATGCTGGAGTGTCAGACGGACTTGCTCCCATATCTCAGCTACTTGAACCTAGCATCTCCGTCAGCAGTCACGTCACGTCTCTCGCCACTGCAGGTACTTAGTTGTTCTGGGCCTATACTTTCAAAAAAAGTTAAGAGATTGTAAGTTCATCAGCCAGTTTTTAACGGCCTTTCAAGCAAAATCCACCAATCATAGACAAGAAAATAGAGCGTAAGTACTTACGTTCACTTGGCGAGTTTTGAAAGTATGGCCCCTGATGTTACTTCTTGTTATGTTCTAACCTCGTGTCATACTCTTCGTTTTAGAAATGTTCTATTAGCATGTTTGGATCCCTATAGGTTTCGACTATAAAATTTTTCGCTATGTTGGACGTTAATCGTAAGAGTATTGACTAAATTGGTAGGCGAATTTAATTTAAAAAATTGCACTATTCTAAAAAACACCTTTATTGTTTATATTCTCAGTCTCGCCTTGGTAAATTTATCCATTATATAATCAAGTCAATTAATCCATTGGAATTTTAGTATTCTGATCTAACCTCCTAACTGTTGCCTCGTGTGAAATAAATACTACTACAGGCAAATTTATAAATTCTTAATATACCCATACATGCCTTCGTGCTTTACCTTTCTTTCAATCTCAGACAAATTTGAGAGTTCTTGTCTGTTGTGGTGTTCGCTTGAGTGGTAGCAACTTACTTCTACCATAACCAACATTCCTAACGTTTCCAGCTGGCGTTAGCAACGCTACTGCGCACGGCTCTAGTGGGGCCAGCAAGCTCACGAGCTCACCGCCTATGCGTCTCTCAGACGTGCTCAAGAAGAAGCGCTCGAACAGAATGAGTGGTGGTGGTGGCAGCGGCGGCAGCAGTGGTGGCAGTGGTGTTTCTGGCGGCAGGTGGAGGAGCAGGCGGCAAGAGGAATCTCCACAGCAACACGCTACCTCATTTGGAGATTTCTTCATGAAATGTGTGTTGAGTTCGAATTCATTCTTGCATACATTGGAAACGCGAGAATTTTTAAGGCTTGTTATTATGATTTGCTAAATCGTCTAATGATATACAATTATATCATGATTCAGTACAATTGTATTCAGTTTTTGAATTTTAATGAATAATTTTCGAAGTATGCTACTCGGTTGACGAGATCAATTTTAGATTGAATATTATTATGATATTATCCCTGTCTCAGCTCTATCATCGACGGCTAGTAGCCCCGATACGCCTGTCAACACCAGCAACAGCAATAACGTTAATCGCACTTCAGCATGGCATCTGGGAGGTGCAAGTTCTCATCACGGAGGACGATCTGCTCCTACAGCTAAGGTTCTTGAAGCTTGCGTAACTAATAGAAAGAATAAGTGTATTGTGGAATTTTATTTTAGCTTGACCAGCCCTCGTATACTGCGAAAAATATCACTAGGAAAGAAAGACATTGCGCTCTCTTCAAGCAATTTGCCAATATGATGAATTAAGTCGGTCGAACTTTATTAAATTTGCCTTTGCTTTCTGCAAATTGCATTCGTGGTCTTGAGGATGAAATGGCAATTAAAAGAGCTCATTCACATGTAACAAAGATCTTGAGTAAGGAAGACTCACAACTCTAGGTAGCTTGATTTAGGGAAGCTGCTGATAATATGAATGGAATTCTGACCCTAGACTCACGGAGGCGGTTCGAGTAGCAGCAGCGGCAGTAGTAGCAGAGGAGCCGGTACCGGCAGGAGCGGCTCGAGCTTCTTGGCCAACCTGAACCCTGTTAGGTGGGGGCGCTGCAGTTCCACTGCAGCTCCTCCTCCTGAGGTCAAGGTAAGATTAAGACATTGAATTTAATTCTCGTTAGCCCCTTTTGTTTTCTGAGAAAAATTTTCTTAATTTATTCCTACCATGAACGTGTTGGGCACTTGCCATCTTTGGTTGTGTTGAAATTATTTACGGTGGTTTATAAAACTAGATTATCGTATTGGAGAGAGCGTAAAAGGGACAATTAATTTAGAGGCATAAGAGAGAAAAAGCTTTGTTATGAAGGGTTATTCTATCATAGGTGCGTGATGGCGTAATGGGAGGTGAAAACAGTTGAGAAGTTGATTGCAAGCATTGTTGGTATCTCTGTGTGAACACAATATGGCTATCATTAGAGAAATTGAAACTTGAATAGAAGGATAAACAATTATTAGGAAGATGAACAATTTTATTCGTTCCATAAGAAAGCTAGTCGTCAAGTTAGTTGACTTAATTAAATTGATTTATTTTAATGTATTCATTGTGCGTATTCATACTGTAAAGGGCAGAGTAATGTACAGTTGTACTCTGTCGAAGGAAGATTATTTGAACTCTGAACTACATATTGAACGCCACGTGAAGAAATTGGCGAATTTGATTTATTTGCACAGAAAGAAACTCAATATTAGCTGATCGGATGGATAGTTTTTCAGTTTTTTTTCATCCCATAAACTCGAAATTTCCTATCACGCTTAAAGACCTTTCCTCTCTGAACACTAGGCGATATTTGCTCATATTATTGCATAAACTCGAAAGAATGATCATGTTATTTCCTACTTGATAATTTTTTATAATTTTCACGTTTCAGGACAAGAATTTGAGCAGCCGAAGTAATAGCTATTGCGCTCCCTCTTCAATGATTCCACAGCACGTGCAGGTGAGCGACAGACGTCTTCTGATTATTGGGATATCACGTGTGTCTTCAATTAACGAGTCGCTGCGTGGCACCACGTGATCACTAATTATAATGATTACTGCAATGTTCTGAATGCAAGGTTTAAATAGATTTGACTTATTCACTATTTTCATCCCCAGTCTGAGTTAAGCTAACTTTTTTTTAGGAATTTTCATAGATTTGCTTATTACAATGCATTAGCCATGCAGCAATTTTTTTCGTTTGTAATTCTATCCATGATTCACGCAATCTTTACAATCGTCTGCTATGTTAGCTTAAAATCTAAACTGATATTTATCGTGTAATTTGAAGAAAATTTAAATAAGTTTTAAATTTATCGCCTAAACCGACTTCCCACCGATTGCCTTCATTGCAATGCATTACTTGATTTCAGACGAGCTGCAGCACAAGCAGTCGTCACCGGGAGAGCGTGAAGACGTGGGTCCGGGAGCAGGCCATGAGGCTTGACCGTGAACACTTCGGCTTGGAACTGCAAGGTCTCACTCATCCTGCTCTAACTGTGCTCAACAGGCTCATCGGCGCCATTCAGCAACTGCACACGCAGGTTACTCAGCGCTTTAATCTATTAGAATTAGTGTAAATGCCATCCTTCTATTAAAATTTGAATTGGTAACTGAATTTTTGACTTAGTTCATGAATCCTTCTTATGGATTAGCATATTTTCTATTTTATTGTAGTTCTATAAATGAAATTTTATGTTAGGACGAAGTTGCTATAGTGTAACTAGAGTGTAACATTCGTATTTTATTACCAAAGCCTGGCAACTGCATTCCTGCACTCTCGGAGATGATGCATATCGTCACGGGTTCGGACATTTCATCATTCGAGCTCATTCATTCGGGGCTTGTGAAGACACTCCTACTTTATCTAACGGCCACTGACAAACGACCGGAGAAAGACATCAGTAAAAATGTTAAAGAACTACAGGAGACTGCGGTGCCAGGCACAAGCACTGCCGCTGATGATGTCGCTGCTTCAAGGTAACGTTTTACTTAAGTCTGTCATTCTCTTTTTCAAAGTCTGGGCGTTTCTGAAAGTTCTAGAATCTGTACATTAAGTGTCTGATGGTTATTTATTTATTTCTAAAATGAAACTAATTCGAGTTAATTAATAAACTTTCTTGAACTTTCTTGAAGCGGTAACGAATATTTCAATTAATAGTGAGATCTTCCATTATACTGAAGCTACCATTGCTGACTACATTTCTCCAGTCTCTATAACTTAAGCTTGGTAGGGTGTGGAAAGCGAAGATTGTTATTTTCATGCATATGTCTTGCACGTGCCCAGTAATGATGGCACCAAGAGCAGTGGAGGAGCCAGTCCCATCAACAGTGGTGCACTGGAGACGGCTGCAGGAGGTATCATCGAGCCTGCAGTGATCGCCAACATAGTCAAGACGCCGCGAGACGAGCGACTCAGGAGCTTCTTGCACGTTTTCCTCGGCTGCTCAGTGAGTAGTCAGGCATTATCATAAACACCATCATACGGCAATGTCTGATCTAGCGTTCATTTTAATTTAGGCATTTGATTAATTTTATTTTGATATGCACTAGGTTTTGTATGCACAATTCTTTAAATTTATGTTCCTTAGTTCATTTCCTACTTTCTTATTTAAGATAAATAATTACCTAATAAATTCTGTTTTTGAGATCTTTGATGCTTCAACTTTAACGTGGCGTTTCTTGTGGTAGGTACCTATTAGCACGTATGGCTGTGGTGAATATGCAAATTCGCGATTGGTGTTTAGAAGGCAATTGTAAATGTGGATTTGATTGCAGCTCGATCCTCTTCAACCTGGCGGCGGATGTGACCCGAATGTGGTGTCACGCTTCACTGGCCTTCTGTCGAAGCTGATGTCGTGCGTTAATCAACTCGAACAGTTCCCGGTGAAAGTCCATGATTTGCCGTCTGGTGCCGGCGCTGGGTCACGAGGAGGTGCCACCTCAGCCATCAAATTTCTTAACACTCATCAATTGAAGGTAGGCATATTTTACCCTGTGCTGCACTTGCTGTTGTATATGCACGACGGTTTTTGTACTTTGTACTTTATTATAATAAAGGCATCACATGATAAATGAGCAGCACTTTCCCAGGAAGAATAAATGATATTTTTACAAAAAACTCTTTCCCTTTCATGCATCATTGTGTATTGAGGGTAACTTATTGGCTAGTGTTTCTACCTCAATTAGTGTCCGTAACTAATTCGATTTTTATCTTTTTTTTCAAGGAAAGCTATTGTGTCTGCGTAACCACCACAATATTATTTTTGCATTATGATCTAATTTCTAAAGGTGTTGATCAGGAGCAATTGATATCAATAAGTTCAAAAGTATATTTTCTCACACGTCTCGGCAGCTAATTCTTTCGTTGTTCCAGTGCAACCTTCAGCGGGACCCTTCATGTACGCGGCTGCGTGAGTGGCGCGGCGGTCCAGTCAAGGTTGACCCGCTGGCGCTCGTCCAGGCCATTGAGCGATACCTCGTAGTCAGAGGCTACGCTAGACTGCGCGACCACCAACACGACGACAACAGTGACGATGATAACAGCGATGATGACGACATTGACGATAACTTGGTTAGTATCCATAGATGGCTTCAAGGGTCACAATTTCCATTGTTGTCAATTAATCGAATGTTGACATGAGACAAAATTCTACCTATTCTGGTAAAATTAAAAAAAAAATTGATCGTGTGAACTTAGTGTCATTTGTATTGGCAAACCATAGGTGCCATGAAATCCATTATTATTTCATCAATATTTTGTTAATTTCGTCTTGCCTTCTTTCAACGGAAATTATGCGATATTTTATCTTGTTGAATACCGTCAGTCGTATCGTTCCTCCAATTAATGATCTGCTTTTGATATACAGGCCTCGATATCGTCAAGTCAAGGAAGTCAGCAACACAAATTAGAGTTCCTCATAGGTGACCAGGTGTTGCCGTACAACATGACGGTGTACCAGGCCCTAAGGCATTATTCTCAGGAACTCTCGCCTAGCGACGCTGAGAATGAGGGCGAAGTGCCCGTATCTCAGAGTGCTGTGTGGTTGCACACGCACACCATCTACTACAGGTAAGCTCTGCAACAGGTTTTACTGGCTAGTCAGTGGATATTAGTGTCTCATTAATAGTAAGAACTATATCCTGCACACAGATTAGTACCTGTTGTTTCTGTATAATTCGACCTATGAAGTGGTGGTTCCATGAATGTATGAATTGCTTCTGATAATAATTTTTTTTCAATTCCAAGACCGGTCATGGAGGAACCCCCTGCCAAATCCTCACGCAAAGGAAAGGGTGGATCAAAGTCAAGTCCAAAGAAGAAAATCACCGAGTCTCTAGTAACGGGTGAGTTTTGGAAGCAATTTATGGATGTGCTCTCGTGTGTGATTATAATTTTGTCGTAACGATTATTGTAGCAGCTGAAATCTTGCCAAATTCAAGTCGTACCTTTACTTAGAAGTAACTTGGAGGCATTTATTACAATGAGGGGCATTTTCTGATAAAAGGCATACTTCCACAGACGTGAGACATGCTTGCTTTTGAAAATCGTTATTTTCTTGCATTATTTTGTAATGACAAAAAATTTTTACTTCCACCGTATTTTATTTCTGGAAAACTATGATCTTTCGAAAAAATCATGTTTATTTCTAATCAGGGTTGGCGATTTTTTTTGATTTTTTTAAAAAAATCAAAAAAAAAAAAAAAATCAATGATTTTTTTGATTTTTTTCATGATTTTTTTGATTTATTTGATTTTATTGATTTTTTCAACTTTTTTGTCTTTTTGAAGTGGTATTTTTTATGTTGCAATTAGCCTAACTAACAATAACAGTATATGGATCATAATGGATGGCTAAAAAGGGCACTTATTGCCTTCAATAATGGCCAACAGGCCAAGGTAGTGTTTACCACTTAGGGGTTTTTGGGTAAACAATTATTGGTAAGTCTATTCATTAGCTTTGTAAAGTTTGTATGGAGCAAGGTAATGAGCTAAATATTGACCATTTAACTGGCTTCAATATACAAAAACACTTCAGGAATGCAGATCTTCTAAACATTGAAAGTCACATAACAGATAGGTAGCTGATAGCGCAGTGCACAGCACTATCAATAGATCTACTAGTTTTTTTGTCCTATAAATCTACCAGACTCTACCTTCTATACACACTGACTAGTAGTGACTGAGTGACTGACTGCACTGTTCCCATTTAATTCAGACCAATAAACCAATACTTAACATAAACTGAACGATAACCAAACAAACCTCATACGACTTGAAACGAGACTTAAGTGATGAGAAAAGCTAACACTGTTTGAAATAAACATGTGCACAATTCAAATATTTTATATCCATTCACTGCTTTTAATCATTTTATATATAGTCTTATATACTTGTAATTGTCTTGTTTCTAGTTTCAAATTCACATATTTAAAGATTGAAATTAAATATTTTAATTAGAATACTCATAGTAGGGTGGAAAATCTTTCTAATTGCCTAAAAGGTCAATACAATCTCAACCTCTCAATATACAGGGTGGGGGAGAACCGATTAAGCAGTTTTGAGGTAAAATATAAGAGTAATAGAGGTACATAAAGAAGAAAGTTTATTTTCCTCAAGATTAGCATAACATACCATTTAGAATACTTATGTTTTGAAAACAATGTCTGGAAGATGGGGGCCATTAGCAGCAACACACTGTTTGAGTTGTTCTATGAGGAGGGAGTAACCGTAACAGTGAATTCCGATCGCTATGCTGCAATGTTGCAAAATTTCTTGCAGCCCATGATGGAAAACATTGTTGAAAATGAAGCATTGGGAGACGTGTGGTTCCATCAGGATGGGGCTACAGCTCACACAGCCCGAATGCTGTCTCTTATACACATCTAGATGTGTATAAGAGACAGCCCTCACACCCTACCACAGCTAAGGGAACGGATTATTGCAGCAGAGGTTATGGCCATACCTCGCCATATGTGTGAACGTGCTGTAGAAAACTTCTGAGAACGACTCAACAGTGTGATGCAGCTAACAAACCCCATCTCCCTGATATTGTTTCCAAAACATAAGTATTTTAAATGGTATGCTATGCTAATCTTGAGGAAAATAAACTTTCTTCTTTATGTACCTCCATTACTCTTTTATTTTGCCTCAAACTGTTCAATAAGTTCTGCCCCACCATGTATAAGCTAGCTAACACATTTAAATTGTATATTGTAATCAATATATAACAAATAGTCAAATAGTTAGACTACTTATAGCCTTATAAGAATTAGCTGAGCTGCTAGCTACATACAATGTATTGCACACTTGATGCCTCTGTACCAAAAACATTCCATTTATTGGAACCTAATACACACTAAAGGCAACAAGTTTATACACCAATTTGTCATTCATAGTACATTTATATCAAACCATGAATAACAATACCTCAATATAAATTGAAGACTGCCACTCAATATATTGAAATTTATGAAAAAATAAAAAAAAAAAATCGAAAAAATCAAAAAAATCGTGATTTTTTTATAAAAAATCAAGTGATTTAATCACATGATTTAATCATTTTGATTTAATCATTGCCAACCCTGCTTATTTGAAAAAACTCCTGTGCGGTTAGTTGGTCAGGTAGAGAGGCGAGAAGGGGTGCATCTGAAGGAGAAAGTTCCCAAGTTTTTTTCTCGAAGTTTTTCAAATAAATTTGCTGTTGTGCAAGAATTAACTGAATGCGATTTTGTTGCCCGTCAAAATGCATGTAAAATGCTGGTTGACAACCTGCCTAAAGACGCGGTCATTTTTTTTCAGTGATGAGGCTCACTTCCACATTTCCTGCTGCATCAACAGCCAAAACATGCATTATTGGTGTGGTGTAAATCCACGAGAGTTTCACCAGAAGCCACTTAACTGTGAGCGAGTTACTGTCTGATGTGAGTGATGTGCGACATCGGTAATGGGAATAATTGGTCCTTGCTTTTTATGAAAACGAACACGCAGTTACCGTTAATGGAGCTCATTACAGGAACATGATCTAGGAATTTTTTATTCCAAGACTCAAAGAAATGAGCATTAGGAACGTGTGGTTTCAGCAAGATGGAGCCACAGCACACACACCACGAGACTCAATGAATTTATTGTGACATCATTTCCCCGACCGCCTCATCTCTCTCAGAGGCGATCTCCAATGGCTGCCACGCTCTCCAGATTTGACTCCATGTGATTTCTCTTTATGGGGTTATTTGAAATTTCTGGTTTAAGTGGATCAACCACGGACCATAGCACACCGCAAGAACAACATTTGCAGTGTCATTGCCAAAATACCGATTGATATGCTGCATTGAGTGGATAAAAATTTCAAAAATCGACTTCATCTGTGTATGCGCAATGGGGGCCGTCATTTATGAGATGTCATTTTCAAGACTGTATTAAAAAAAAATTTGGGAAACTGTATTCTCAAAAAAAAAAAAATTTTTAAAACAATAATTGGAGTACTTTTTTTTATTGACCTTTCAAATAAGTAAGTTTCTCTAGCGCACCCTGTACATTCGGAAGAAGTAAGAATTCTAGAAATAATTTTGTGCTACAAAAATAATAATGCAATGTTTTTTCTTTTGTAGGTACCTACAATTTTACTTAGAATTTAACTAAGATGAGGAAAGATTCTTATTTTATTTCATTTCAGTAGTAAATATCCTCTGAGAGAGATGAGGCGGTCGGGGAAATGTTGTCGCAACAAATTCATCGAGTCTTGTGCTGTGTGTGCTGTGGCTCCATCTTGCTGAAACCACACGTTCCTAAAGTTCATTTCTTCGAGTCTTGGAAGAAAAAGTCCATTGATCATGTTCCTGTAACAAGCTCCATTAATGGTAACTGCTCGTTCATTTTCTTTAAAAAATAAGGACCAATTATTCCCATTACCGATGTCGCACACCAGACAGTAACTCGCTCACAGTTAAGTGGCTTCTGGTGAAACTCACGTGGATTTACACCACATCAATAACGCATGTTTAGCTTGTTAACGCAGCCAGAAATGTGGAAGTGAGCCTTGCCACTGAAAAAAACAACCGCGTCTTCAGGCAGGTTGTCAACCAGCATTTTACATGCATTTTGAGGGGCAACAAAATTGCATTCAGTTAATTCTTGCACTACAGCAAATTTATTTGAGAAACTTTGAGAAACAAACTTGGGAACTTTCCCCTTCAGATGCACCCCCTCTCGCCCTTCTACCCGACCAACTAACCGCACAGGAATTTTTCCAAATAAGTAAGTTTCTGTGGTGCACCCTGTACCAGCATGCGTCTTTAGACCTATTTATGTTCAATTTAACGTGAATAATAGGTTATAAATGGGACTTTTATATATAAATATATATATAAAATATTCATTTTACATAACTTTACAACTGCATTACGCAAAAACTATTGCATGAACATCCATGGTAGTAGCTTTGTTAAACGCGTCTTGTTTGTAGCTTTCAAACGAGTGCAAACACTCTGTAATTAACCTAAATAATGACATATAAATACCATTTATTTTTCAATAATGATATCAAATGATCATTTTATAAAAATTCAAGACTGCATTACACAAAAAAGTATTGTATGTACATCTATGGTAGTAGCTTTGTTGAACGCGTCTCATTTGTAGCTTTCAAACGAGTGCAAACACTTTGTAATTAACAAGAGTAATGATTTATATATACAGATTTAATTCAAATAAATCTTTGTTCATATTGTTAAAAAATGTTCATATATATATTTTTAAAATTGTCTTGCGCAAAAATTATAGCACGCACAGACATGCCGTAAACTGCGTTAGACGCGCCTTTTCAGCAGCTACAAAATGAGTCAAGAAAGCGGTAAAGCCAAAATTTCTGATTTTTAGGGTAGCCGGTCCCCTTAATAGTATTAAATATTATTTAAAAACCATTAATGAGTAAATCCCAATAGCAGAATAATAAATATTTAGAGATTTCCAATAATTTTGGCCATTGTAGCGGCTAATGTAGCGTGCTACATTTTACTGTAGCGGTAGCGGTAGCGCCCGTTACAATCTAGTAGGTGTAGCGGTAGCGGTAGCGCCCGCTGAGTACCTACTAAATAAAAATTAGATAGCATTGGTCAAAAACAACAACAAAAGTTCCAAGGATCAATGGGCTAGCAATTTAAAAATTATCAAAATAAAAGTGCTTATCAAAGGTTCAAAGTCTTGTTTTAAGTCATTTAATTCCTAAATAATAGAAATTAATGTTTCCACATGGATTTCAATACTGTTGAGAATTTCAAATGAAACATGAAAAGTGCAAATAAGAAAAGTACAAAAGCTGGCTTGTCAAGAAAAGTACAAGAACTGAC